CCTGAGGAGAGAAAGGGAGCCTGGGAGGTTTCACAGAGAAAGTGATCCCTGGGGGAGGACAAGGAGCCGTTACCAGGTGAGCAAGGCAGAGAAGAGGGGTCCAGGGGGGGAGCAGGACATCAAAAGACCTGGCAGCCTGAAGCTGCATGATGTATTCTGCCACCGTGAGTGGTGCCATATGGCGAGTGTGTGGGGGGGGGGGCGCTGGGAATTCAGGCGGGCAGAGGCCCTCACTGGTCATGTGCCAGTTAAGATGCTTAGATGCTGTCCTGCATCATCATGTGTTTACTTTTCAGAAAGATCTCGCAAGTGACAGTGTGGAAGAGGGGTAGAGGGAGATAGGATTGGCTACTTGGAAGGTAGGAAGGAGATTACTGTAATGGTTGAGATACCAGGTTGGTGGAGCTATAAGGGCCAGAAATGGGGTGGTAGCATGGTAAGAACCTACAACTAAGGTAGAAGGTGGGGATGGAATAAATAGCCTTGAAAAGTTTCTGCCATTTTATCCAAATATAAAATCCTTGCTTTTAACTTTCTTTCTTTTTTTTCTTTTTTTGGTGAGGAAGATTTGCCCTGAGCTACCATCTGTTGCCAGTCTTCCTCTTTTTGCTTGAGGAAGATTGTCCCTGAGCTACCATCTGTGCCAGTCTTCCCCCATCTTGTATGTGGGACGCCGTCACAGCCTGGCTTGATGAGCAGTATATAGGTCTGCACTTGGGATCTGAACCTGCAAACCCCAGACCGTCAAAGGAGAGCCTGCACACTTAACCACTATGCCACCAGGCCAACCCTACTCTTAACATTTTTTAAAAACAATTCCAAATTCACACATGTAGTTATTTTCCCTGCAATAGTGATTGTAACCATATTAGAAAAATATTTTCCCTTTTTCTTGTTTTTTGCTAATCTCTTTACATCTGCGTTCTTCCACAGACTTTAATCCAAGCCAGACTGTAGTAAGGGTACCACACCATGAGGATTACCCAGGGCCTACAGCAGACTGGTAGAATAGAGGAATGACATTGGTATATCATGTCTTTATTTCAGCAGGGCTCTTGACAGCTCTAGCATGATGTCCTTACAAACAAGATGAGGACAGTTCTGTGGGATCACTTTGTAGTTGGTGAACAACCTGGGACCCCAGTAAGCGCTGTTTATTGTGCTTGGGTCAGCGTAGGAGTGTACCTGTAAGTCACAGACCTCAGTCTGGTCTTGGTCTTGTTCAGCTTCTTAGGGATTTATATGAACATGTAAAAGGCACGCATATGAAATTTAGAGATACTGGCAACTAACAGAATAAGGATCTTTATTGGTCTCTATAGACTTGAAATATGGATCTGAAGAATAAATATAAGACTCTATGTGAAAAGAATCACTGTGTAAGGGAAGGATGCGAAGAGCCTCGACCTGATTATTTAAGATAAAGACCTGAGGATTTAGGTATCGTCATCTCTACCACCACCTACGTCCCTGGTGTGAGCTGCCACTCTTTCTTCTCTGGATAATTCCAGAAGTCTACTGGTTTCCTGCTCCTTCTCTCCCTTTAGTCTAGACTGGACGTAGCAGCCAGTGATCCTGTGAAAGCACTTGGTAGGTGTTGTAATGAATTTTCAGTGGTGGCCCATCTCACCCACACTAAACACCATGGTTCCTAACAATGGTCCGCAAGGTCCTGTTGGACCTACTGGTGTCCTCTGAGCTCTCTCACCTATTCTGCTACCCATCTTCCCTCACCCCTGTGCCACAGCCAGCCTGGCCTCCCTGCTCCTCCTCCACTTGCTGCATCTCAGCCATGAGCGCTCTTCCCCCTGACGTGCTCATGGCTTGCTCTTTGTCTCCTTCAGGACTTTAACTGCTCAGGAACTTTCTCAGACTTTCCCCATCACAGCATTTAAAAGTATGGTACCCTCTCCTCTTCTCTCAGTTGGTTTGGTTCCATAGCACTGATTGCCCTATTATACGTTTTATTTATTTGTTTTGCTCCTCTGGCTCCCTTACTAGACTGTAAGCTCCACGTGGATGGGGAATTTTGCCTTTCGCCTTCTCTGCTAGATCCCCCACACCTAGAGCAGTGTCCGGCTCAGAGTCAGCGGGCACTCAATAAGTATTTGTTGGATGTATGTTTAAAGCATAAATTAATGAATATGAGATAAGAGCAGAGTTCAGCTGATCTAAAAAGCTAATGTGATCGTGGACGTCCTGCAATCTTGGCCTCATGCGGTGTCTACATATATAAAGAAAGAAAGAGATTTATTGTCAGGAATTGGCTCACATGATTATGGAGACTATCAAGTCCAAAATCTGCAGAGCTGATGTCCAGTTTGAGTCCCACGGCCAGCAGGCTGCTGTAGAGCAAGGAAGAGCTGATGTCCCGTCAGGCAGGAGAACTCTCTCTTCCTCGGGGGAGGGTCAGCCTTTTCTTATAGTCAGGCCTTTAAGTGATAGGAGGAGGCCCGCACAAGTTAGGAAGGGCACTCTGTTTTACCTAGTCTCTCAATTTAAATGTTAATCTCATCCCAAAACACCCTCACAGGAACACTCAGAATAGCGTTTGACCAAATATCTGGGCACCCCATGGTCCAGTCAAGTTGACACATAAAATTAACCATCACAGTACATTTGTTAGACTACATCCAAAACCCCAAGTCTTATCCCGGGCACCATATTTCAGAGACTGTGCTGATGAAGATCTGACGACCATAGTGTCTGGGGAGGAGTTGAGGAGGCTGGGGGAATTGCCCTAAAGAAGTGAAGTCATGATCAGGGTGGAGTGACATCTTCAGACCTTTGAAAGGCTTGTCTCACGGAGGGAAGAGGAGGGAATTCTTTGGTCTGGAAGGCACAGCTCAGACAAGTGGATAGAAAGTAAGAACGGAAATCTTCTGCCTTGGGAGCTGGCAAGGTCTTCTTTCTGAAAGGGTTCAAGCAGAGGCCATCTGTGACCAGAAGTCAGGAGTCTCCTGTTCTGGTCTTGTCCTGGTCTGATTCCCTGACCTTGGGTAGGCCGTTAGCTTCTCTGAGGGTTCCTCCTCTCTACTGTGGAAATCATAGTAGCCTACCTCACAGGTCATCCTGAGGGTCAGATGGAAATAACAATACCTTCTAAAACTCAGGGGGGGTTGGGGGGCCTTTGTCAGCACCCAGCCTCGTCAGAGCCTGGAGAACTGGTGGTCAGAGGAGTGCTGACTAACCTCTTGCAGCAGAAAATTTCCACTGACCTACAGTCAGGGACACTTCACCGGGCCTGGCAGCTTTGCTCTCCTCTTATTGGAATGCGCCTGAGGAGTGGCGGTTAACTCCTTGTCCAAATTCCTCAGCCCTGAGTGTGTGAACCTTGTTGCTGCTGGCCCGGGAGAAGACAGACTGGAGCAGGGCTGATGGTACGTGGAGGCATCAGCCAGGAGCTGCCCCTTCCTGAAGAATCAGCTAGACTCCAGTAGCACTTTTCAGTTTCTTCAGGATACATTCTGAAGTCTCTCGCTATTTCTTCTCTTATTTGCGCTGTTCACATTCTTGCCTCTGGAACGTAGCAGGGTAATAGATCCCACCTTCCACTCTGCAGAAGCGTACTCTATGTATAACGTATTTTAAACCTGCTTGTTTTACTTTATGGCTGTAACATGAATGAGGACAAAAGGATCAGACATCCCGGGGTGCTTGCCCTAACATTCAGAACTGTGCTGGCAGTGGGACAGAGGCCTTTGGACTGTTACGGGTTTTTTCGGTGGCAGGCTTGATAAAAATGACTTTTTTGCACAAGTGCTTTTGAATGAAAAGAAGGTTTTTACTACAGTGCTTATCAGAAGATCAGATAAACTTTGTTTGAAGTTCAGTGTTGCTGAGTAGCTGAACCTCAGAAGATTTATCCCCAGGGCCATGTGGTTGTGGTTTGGCAGGTAAAGGGCACAGGAGCTTTTTCTTATGCAGGTGATGTCAAAGCAAGGTCGAAGCGAAACGGTCCCTGCTGGTTTGTTTGTAACTGGCATCAGGACATTTAGCAAATGTCGTTAGCACACTTGATAGCACTTTGTGGTGCCTGATAGCTAATAGGTGTGCAGTAAATGGTAACTATTGTTAATGGTCCTAGTTTATGCCCAGCCTATTAATGATTAGTTCTGGGCTTTCCAAGCCAATGCAAACCAAAAAGCTTCTCTTATTCTTTATTAAGTTCTAAACAGCCCGATTTCCAGCATGGAAAGGAGTGATAGTAACATTCAGTCGGTCCAAGGTGTAGACCAAGATTTCTCAGTCACAGTACTATTGACATTTTGGATAGTTCTTTACTGTGGGGCTGCCCTGTGCATTGTAAGATGTTTAGCAGCATCCCTGGCCCTACTTGCTGGATGCCAGTAGCTCAAACCTCGCAGTTGTGACAATCAAAAATGTTTCCAGACATTGCCAAAAGTCCCCTGGGGGACAAAAGTGCCCCTGGTTAAGAACCACTCGTGTAAAGGAAGCTGCAAAATGCCCACAAGAGGCCTGACCTAGAACAGTGTTTTTCAAATCTAATCATCCAGGGAGCTTTAAAATATTTCGATGTCTGCGTCTCACCCCAAAGATTCCAGTTGGTCTGGGATGTGGCCTGGTCCTCAGGATATTCAGAAGCTCTTAGGTGCTTCTGGTTTTCAGCCAAGAGGGAGACCACAGCATTAGTAGGTCATGGAATCAATTAAGTGAGGTACTTCTTTGCTAGCATAAAAATATGTATAGATATATATAGATATATATATATATGTAGGGGCTGGCCTGGTGGCGCAGCGGTTAAGTTCTCACATTCCGCTTCAGGGGCCCAGGGTTCACTGGTTCAGATCCCAGGTGCGGACATGGCACTGCTTGGCAAGCCATGCTGTGGTAGGCGTCCCACATATAAAGTAGAGGAAGATGGGCATGGATGTTAGCTCAGGGCCAGTCTTCCTCAGTGAAAAGAGGAGGATTGGCAGCATATGTTAGCTCAGGGCTAATCCTCCTCCTAAAAAATAAATAAATAAATAAATATATAATTAAATAGAAAATATTAATGCCTAGCACGATAGTTGGGGTAAGTACTATTTTCTATGTGTGTTATGGTTGAAAATGCTGCTGTAAGCGATAGAACCATAAGCAAAATCCCTGCCCTCAGCCTGTTTGTACTCTAGCTGTTTATAACCTCTTCAGAAATGGTTTGCTTTTTGTTAATGATAAATTAATGTGAAACTTAATACAAGACATTTATAGTTCGATGACTTGGGTATTTGTGAGCCATTTTGCTCATATTTTGAGGTTTCACCCTAACATTGATAAAAATCTTTATTTTATAAATGTGAGCCAATAAAGATGACACACTTGTTTTCACCAGCAACTAAATTTGATTATAGTACAGCGAGAAGATGATAATTTTCCCCCGTTGTGTGTTAATTATACATACCATGATTTGCTAGGTCAGTGAGGGTCTCTAGATACCTCCAACAAGAATGTGGGACTTGCGTAAATCATCCTGAAAGCTTTATTACGATCAGCCTCACAGCCTCTTGACTTCATTGTCTATGGGAATTTGGGGGTCTTACAAAATAAACTGCAGTACACATTCATCTCAGTGCTGGGCGGCAGTGTGATCTGGCCGTTCCTTTTATCTCAGAGCTCAGGAGAACCTAAACCCAGGGGACTCTGGCTGTGTCCCTGTGGTGGTGCTTCTGCAGCTGTGGAGGACCTGGAAGTCAAGTTCACTTGCTAGTAGGACTTTGGGATCACTTGCCCTGATCCCGAAGCCCATTACAAGCCCACGATAACACTCACCAGGATGTCCCACTTACTTGAAGCACTTTATTTGAAAGGTTGCCCTTCAATTAGATATCTGGAAAATAGCAGTGATAATTCTTATGATTACTCACAATGCAGTATGCAGTCTCTCATCACAATGCTCTTTTTTTTTTTTTTCCTGCTTTTATCTCCCCAAACCCCCCCTGGACATAGTTGTATATCTTAGTTGCACATCCTTCTAGTTGTGGTATGTGGGACGCCGCCTCAACGTGGCCTAACGAGCCGTGCCATGTCCGCGCCCAGGATCCGAACCCTGGGCTGCCACAGCGGAGCGCGTGAACTTAACCACTCAGCCACAGAGCCGGCCCCATCATCACAATGCTCTTTAAGAGTCAAAGGGACAGGGGCTGGCCCTGTGGCCGAGTGGTTAAGTTTGCACGCTCTGCTGCAGGTGGCCCAGTGTTTTGTTGGTTTGAATCCTGGGCGCAGACATGGCACTGCTCATCAAACCACGCTGAGGCAGCGTCCCACATACCACAACTAGAAGGACCCACAACGAAGAATATACAACTATGTACCAGGGGGCTTTGGGGAGAAAAAGGAAAAAATAAAGTCTTTAAAAAAAAAAAAAGAGTTCAAAGGGACATCCTGCACTGTTGGTAGTTTTGTCATTACCTGGGAGAAGTAGCGTTGGGATTATTTCTTGAATCAGTGCTGGAAAAAGATGATCTGCCTGTATAACAAAGGGAAGAGGGTTGGATTGACAAATATCCATTAGTTGTCCAATAAATGCTGTCTCTATAATTTAGCTCTGGGTGACTACACCGTGTTAAATATATGATTTTATTTCTTCTAGGTGTCTGAGGGTTCTGTGGTCCACTTTTCATCAGGAAACTTCTCCTTGTCAGCAGAAACAGAAGAAAGGAGCTTCCCCCATGGAAATGAACATCTGTTAAATTGGGCCCGAAAGGAGTATGGAGCGGTTACTTCATTCACTGAACTCAAGATAGCAAGAAACATTTATATTAAAGTCGGGGAAGGTAAATTTTATGTGGTTTCAATTAATGACTGATTTACGACAGTCGGTTGTTTTCTTTTCTGAGACTAGGCAGTTAGGGAGGAATCATAGAATCACAAAATGTTGGAGCTGGCAGGGACCTGAGGCATCTCTGGGGCCTGCTCCTACCACATTCCCCCTTCCCTTTTTTCCTTCTGAGGAAACAGACCTGGTAATGGCCAAGTGAGAAATGGGGAGTAGCATGGTTGAGAGAGGTTGTGGTGTAGGATTTAGAAGACGTCGGTGCACAGAAGTCAGAAGTGAGTGGAAGGCAGGAAGCTGAGGGTGTGGGAAAGGAGATGGCAACTGATGGGATGAGAGAGACCGTTGCAGGATGGGTCAACAGTTAGGGCTTCCTCTTACCTCTTATTCTGCAAACATTGGAAGCCAATGTCAGTTTATGGTCTCATGACATCAGTTAAATTTTGGACAGTAGCAAAGGAAAAGTGTTTGAATATATTTTTAATACCGATGCCTGTTACAAAGACAAATTATTGGAGAAAGGAACTGTGTCACCTTGATAAGAGATTGCCCATTTTAATTTCCTTGCCTTGCAGAGGGATATAAATACCAGTGACTCAATTTTGAAAGCATATAACTTTCTTAATAACTTCTTTATCATTATTTTAGTTGAATGCATTTGGAGGCCCCATAAGTTGCTAGAAATAACAACTCTTGTGAATCGATCCTTATTATAGTCAGATGATTGTGTGGAAACTGCATTTCAGGTGTTCAGCGTCCGTCTGCTTTCTGCTGGATTCTACAGCAGTTGTCACCTCCTCCACAGACAGCGTGGCACTGCAGGGTGGGTTGTCGAAGGCTCCTTGCAGCCCTTGTTCGGATCTGGGCTGCTGGTCAGATGCAGGAAAAGTAGACACTGCTACTGAGTGTGTGCTGCATGCAGAGGCCACATCAGGTGCTTTCACATGTACCCTACGTAACCCCGCCAGTAATCCTAGGAGGAAACCATCATTTCCACCATTTTACAGAGGGGTTAGTGGAAGGTTAAGCTAACTTACTTAAATCCAGATTACTAGCAAGTGGCAAAGCCAGAACTCAAACCCAGGTTTCCTGGCTCTTGAGGCTAATGCCTGATGCTGTATTTTAAGTCTTAGCCAAAGAAGCATAACCTAAACATGAAAGTGGGCCACCTGGATGGAAAGACTTGTTTAGCCGAGTAGAGAAAAGAGGAGTTTTAGATGAGAGTTGGGTTCAAAAAGTTGAAGTTTGTTACTTAACTCTCGTGGTAGTCAGGTAGCTAATAATAGAGGTCAAGTCTCATTGGAGCAAAATGAAAAATCCCTTTTAACAAAGGATCTAAGCCCTGGCCAATGGTCTGCATTTCTGAAGCAGAATTCTAGTAGCGTGAAAGAATGTTGATTACCCCCTTGGAATTTGTTAGAATAAGAAAATGTTATAGTTACATTTAGAATGTTGGGCTCTGTTCTCTTGACAGCACATGAGCTTCTATGAACAGCTGTAGCCTGCCCTGAGAGAAGGGTTAAGTGACTTCCCCAAGGCCACACACTGGGTTGGGAAGAACTTAAAGGACCTGGTGTCCAGTCTAGTAAAAATTGGTTAACTCCTTGATAACAGCTTTGGAGCCTCTGAGACTTGACTCCAGCCACCAGTTGGGAATAAGTCCCTGGCCCACACTGTGGAGAGGAACAGTTAGGAGAAGCGAGGGTGCTTGGTTAGGTTGGTGAATCACAAGGTGATGTCGTTTATCACCATTGATCTGACTCCACTGAGTAAGCCTCATCCGCTAGCTTCCCAGAACCTGACCTGTCTCTACCCGACTTGTACCCAGATATCCCAGGCTGTGAGCCTCCTCTTGCTCTATTCCCAGTAGTTCTCAAAGTGTAGTACCCACCCCAGCAGCATCCTCATCACCTGGGAACTTGTTAGAAATGCCAGTTCTTGGGCCACCCCAGACCAAGTGAATCAGAAATACTGGGGCTGGAATCCAAACATCTGTGTTTAACAAGCCCTCCAGGTGATTCTGATGCTTGCTGACATCTGAGAACTACTGCTCTAACCTGTGTACCTAGAGCAGAAGAAGTGAGGAGTTTTGGTTCTTATCCCAACTGGTCTCGTTAACTGTGAGGCTTCAATCAACACTCATTTGCCACCAGAGCCTCAGTTTCCACCGCAGTAAAACGAGGAATTTGCATTACCTCCCAGGCTCTCCAAGTGTATTATTCTAGCTCTCAAAGGCATTTGTCAATCCTTTCCTAAAATACAAATAAGCATGTGACTTATTCCCCCCCAAACTTGCCAGGTTTCTATCCGGGGATTCCCCATTGTGGTTTCCTTTCTACTTGGCAGTTGCTGTAAGTTTTGATGCCAGGCATGCGGGAGGTCATTTAGGGGGGAAGAAAACCACGCACACACTTGCACACACAACAAAAAGTGATCAGCTTGTTCAGCTTAGTGACAGTGGCCTCTAGGACTTGAGCCCTTAATTACAGCAACTTTTAAACAGACTTTTCCTAGTGGCTTAGGAGGGTCACAGTATGGGTAAGTTTTTCATTATTTGTCTCAAATCTCACATCAACATTTGTTAATTCAGGAAACCTATACCATGTGCCTACTATATGCCAGCTGCAAACCAGACACACCTAGGAACTAGATATATAGGCCAGAGTCCCAGGAGGGTCCTAGTCTCTTGAGTTCCAAACTGGCCTGTCCCTGGCCCATGCACACACCCTCTGATTCTTGATTAAATTTCAGCCTTGTCACCCCAAGATCATCTTCTGTCCTGTGATCTGGGGGAGGCGTCCGCAGGGCTGCAGCTGCAGGGTGTGCGTTCTTCATCTGCTCATCTGGCGAAACCCTCAGCAGATGTGGAGGGGAGTCTGCTCCAGCAGCCTGAGTCGGCGGAGCCCTGGCCTCTTCTGAGGGGATCTTTAGGGAACAATGCAGAGTGCAGAGCCAGGACGCCTTTGCAATGAACCTATAGGCAGGGGCCTTCAGAGCTCCTCTGGTCCCCTCTGCTCTAGGGGTGGTGCTGGGGGCACCATGGTATGCAGAGCCACGATGCCACAGTGTGTGCTGTGGACTTCAGCACAAGGGAAGTCGCACAAATTACATGGGGGTGGGGGAGGGCAGTATCAACCCAGTCTTGAGAGCTCCTGGGCTGATTCCTCTCTCCTGAGAGAGACTTGCATGTGGATTTGAACCCTAGCATCCTATCCGTTAAATGAAAAAGGCAGAAATCTGTTTCATTAAAGCGCCAGGGCTCTGATTAATTACCCCTTCTGAAAAAAAAGTTTGCTACACCTAGAACTTCCTTGACATTGGTCCCAGCTGTCACACTGCCAGCAGTTTCAAGTTCTGTTTAAACATTTAAACCACTGGATGGAAATCCCATCAACCACAGTGCTGTGTCAACGGCATGTGCCGTTGGGGGAGTATCTTCAGACTCTTGGTACTTGCATCACTTTCCCTGGTGGAGGTGACAAGCAGCCCTCAGCACAATGAGATAATGTTTATAAAAGCAGCTTGTTAACTGTAAAGCGCCATACAAACATTAGTGGTCTGTGTCAAGATTGTGAGAAAGTGAAAGTCTGCCCCCACTGCTTCCCCTAAAACTTCAGGCTTTAGAGTATGCATGCTCTGAGGAAGACATTTGAGGGAGTGATTAATTCTACATGGTGGGCCATAGAATTAGTTAGGTGACTGGTTCTCCTATTAACTGGAGTAGCAAATATCCACAGAGGAGCATGTTTGGGGATAGGAGGGATAATTGGATTCAGTGTTAAGTATGCTGACTGAAATATCTATTGGATTTTTAGGCGGGAGGTGCTTGATAAACAGATGACAATACAGGTGTGCAGCTCAGAAAAGGAGTCATGATCTGGGTACCAGTTGAAGCTGTGGGAGTGATTGAGATCATCTAGGAAGAATATGACACAAAAAGAGGATTCAGGAAGGAACTGAGCTTCTTAGCCTTGGTTTGTATCAGGATCAACTATGGAGCTTTTCAAAAAGAAAGCTTCCTAGGCTCCACCTAGATCTTTGGAATCAGACTCTGGGATGCGGTCCAAACAGGTGGATTGTGATGTGCTCTGAAGATTGAGGACCACTGGTATTTAAAGGATGAGCAGAGGATGAGAAGCCAGTGAAAGAGACTGAAAGATAGAGGAAATGGATGAGGACAAAGAAGTGTCACAGAGAACAAGAAAGGGAGGGTTTAGACCAAAACAAGCCACTAGAGTTGTCAGTAGGAGGTCGCTGGTGACCATAGGGATAGCATTTCAGGGCAGTGGTTGAGGCATTCATTCTAAGGCCCTTCCTTAGGCTTTGGTTCCCTGTGTCCTGCACTTGCTGGGTGTCACTGTCACCTTCTTTCCTTTGAATCTGGGTGCCACATAGCTCAGTGATCTGACAGATTGTCCTGTGCTGCTTTACTTTCAGATCAAGTGTTCCCTCCCACCTGCAACATAGGGAAGAATTTTCTCTCACTCAATTACCTTGCCGAATACCTTCAGCCCAAAGCCGCAGAAGGGTGTGTGATATCCAGCCAGCCCCAGGATAAGGAGGTTCACATCATCGAGTTAATCACCCCAAACTCTAACCCCTACAGGTGAGTGAGTGTGTGTGTGTATGTGTGGGTGGGTGGGTGTCTAAACCGAGAAGAGATGAAAATAAAGATCTTCCCTGATTTGAGGCAGGGAGAGGCTCAGCCCTCCCTGTGCAGGAGGGAGGGAGACAGGGAGCCATCGATGCTTTGGGTGAGATTCACAGAAGCTGTGAAGAAAGGAGTAAAGGCATCAGTGATGTACTTTATTTTTGCATCTGTCTCCAGATCCCCAACATTGCAGATGAACTCCTGAAGCCTATTCTGAACTTTTGGGTACTAATTATAGACACAGTCACTCTTGCTCCATCATCATCTCCTTTGACTGAGGTTATCCCTGATAAGAAAATTACAGAATGTACCTTATTAACAATTATCATTTTAATAACATTCTGTTTTTAATAAGGTTCTGTTCATAGTGTCCTCAGAACACTTTTGCATTCATGACTGTTTAATTCTGTGTGTGTGTTTTTTTGTGTGTGTTGGGGGTGTGGCCCTTCATGATGACACACCAAAGAGCCATTGGACACAACTTGCCTCTCCCTGTGTTCTTGTTCGCCCCCTCCCACCCTCAGCTTCCGCCCCAGGACTGGAAATTTAGCCCTCCCTGTCAAGAATAATTAGGGAATTAAAAAAGGGGGAGGAAGTAGGCCCTTCTCCCCTTTAGCCTGCATTTCGTGTGGACTAGTGACTTAAAATGTAAGTTTATATTAGAGAGGGATTTAAAAGTTAAAATTCTAATCAAATTTTGATTTTAAAAGTGAATAAACTACAGATCAGTTTTAGTCAGATTCCATTTTGTGCCACGTGAAGAATTTTGTGGAAAATTAAAAGGGAATAGGAATAGAAGCGGTCTGGCAAAAGTGCTTAGATATCGAGCCTATGGCTTCACTGGAGTATATCATTCATTCTATGCTTTACTAGTGTGTAAAACCGAGATGGAAAGAAAGACTTTCCTTTAAATTCGGAATGACAGACATTATTGTTTGGGAAAAATTCTCTTTTATGCTGAATTCTTAGAAGTTTGGGTTGGGTTCATCAATTTTCCAGTAATCACTTGGTTGACCATCTGTTTCTTTATTTTAATAACTATATATCCAGAAGTTTGGGAAAGTAAATGCAGATATTCTGTAGCAAATGTTAATGTCTTAAGCAAACCTTGCATAAGTCAAGAAATTCTCCAGTTTTTTGCCTCTCATTTTATTCTAAAGTTTCCTAATTTTTTTCCTCCTCCCTGCCACCCCCCCCCCCCCCCACCACCAAACTGCTGCCCACTTCTGGCTTTGAAGGATTTTGAACATACTGCAAATTGGAAAGTTACACATTGAAGGTGTTGAAGGTAGAAAAAGCAACAATTCTGCTTCAAAAGTAAACTCTTCTGGTTTGTTCAAGTCCATTTCAAACAGTGGCTGCCTTAAGTAACCTCCTCCTCACCCCCCCGAAAAGAAGAGAAAAATTTTAGTGGCTAATTATCAGCAGGCGTATTTTTCTATTGTTATATAAAACCATTTTGTTATGTGTGCACTTACAATCTGTTTTGCACATGTCATTTGCCTGGGATCGACTCCAGCTTTTTAATCAACTGGCCAGACACTGGAAACACGAAGACTTGGAAGAGAAGAGATAGTTGCAACTTTCTGCCATTTGGGTCCTAACTCTGCCTTTGTTTTCCATTCCCAGTGCTTTCCAGGTGGATATAGTAATTGACATAAGACCTTCTCGAAAGGATCCTGAGGTGGTCAAAAATCTCATCCTGATCTTGAAGTGCAAAAAGTCTGTCAACTGGGTGATCAAGTCTTTTGATGTTAAGGGAAACCTGAAAGTTATTGTAAGTTGGTTGAGCATCTCTTCGTTTTGTTGAATGGCAATAATTCAAGCTGTGCTTATACGTGTTATTTATGTAAAGTTTCTGCCTCTTTGGACTCTCTGTGCTCTCTCAGTTATTTTTCACTTTGTAAAATAGGCTGTTCCTTGGTTTCTCTTGACAAGGGTGGACAGTGTGGTGGTTAAAAGCCTGGCCTCTGGGGTCAAGGCAGACTCGATTTGAGTCCAGACTGCCATGTCCTTTAACCTCAGTTGCCCCATTTGTGAAATTCCTAAAATGTATTACTGTACTTTCCAGTCCTCGTAAGTGTAAAACAATGAACACAATTATGCCTTTCGTGGTTGAGAGTCCTGTGAGGGCCTCAGTATCATGGTCCTGAGTATCAGCTCTCACTTTGGGGTTAGGTATTTAAGGAAGGTGTAGGAAATTAGACTGACTCCAGCTCCTACTGTTGACTTTTCTTTTTGAGATCAATATGTGGTATTGGCTTGTCTTTTCGCTTCCTTCTACCTTTTAAAGGTAAAACACTGATTAAAGAATCACAGTGTTGGAGAGGTTAGTGAGATAATGCAAGAAAAATATCTCCCAGCCTGTTTCCTAAGCATTATATTTCATGAGGGAAATACACCTTAGAGGCTTAGCTGGTTGGCGTGATAGGCACACAGCAGCTAGTTTCCCGAAAAGTTGAATGTTGACATTTGGTAAAATAACTTTTTTCAAATATGTTTAGAGAGATAACTGTTTGACAGAATATTGGTGTGAGTTACATTGAAAGTTAAAGAAAAAGCCCTCTCCTCATTTTTAAGAAGATAATTACCTTAGCATCTCTTGTAGACTCCAATTTTTGTGCATTGTCTTTTTAAAAAATTGTGGCTGGTTTGTCTTGCACTGAATCAATCGGAGTGGTTTTGTGTGTTCAATATTTTGGGAGAGGGATGCCTTTGGTTTTGGTATTTACTCATTCATGGCACCTTCTGTGTGATGCAGCAGTGAACAGAGCCAGCAGTCCCCTAGGCAACGTCATGTACGAGGCTCACCAGAGGCAGCAGGCAAAAGCCACGCACACACAAATCTTAATTTTAAAGTAATCGTTTCTGGTTCCTGTCGGTTTTTGGTTTTTTTTTTTTTTTTAACTTTGAGAGGATCCCAATAAGCCATCATGTGTAATGGTGAGACATTAATTTGGCGTTGAGCACAAAGCCCAGCTGCGATTTTCTGAAGTCAGAGCTGTTTTGATTGCCTTCCCTGGCATGAGGGGTGTTGGTGACCTGGGGTGTCTGCAGCCTTTGCTGCCTGGCACACCAACCAAATGTTTTTAATTTCAGAATAACAAAAACAGGAAAGGGAATCATGCTTTGAAAGGCAAAAACATACAGTACATTTTAATTCCCTGCTGGAGTTCTTGTGTAAATGCTCTTGTGGCCCTAACCATTCAATGGCTCTTTCTCTCCCTGAGTATGTGTGCCTGGTCCATGGCAGTCCTGGAGTTTGCTTTGAGTGTCCCCACTTCTTGTATGAATCAGAAAGGCTAGAAATTAGACTGCTCATCCCAGTGCAAGATCTGTTTATATTCCTCTCCTTGGCTGTACTCCTGTTCCAGGCCAATTTTGGACAATGCATGACAACATTACTAAACAATTAGGTAATGTTTCACGATGTTCTTTTCTATTCCCCCAATCAGTTTCATGCTTTGAGATTTCCTAACTCCCTGTCTCAGATGTGAATTCTGACTATGCTGTGGGGGCCAGGTACCTGCTAATAAAAGGCATACATTTGCGCTTAGAAAGGGGGAAATGGTTTATAGTGACCTTGTTTCTATTAGTCCCTTCAGGGACAGCATGGTAGAGTAGAAAGAACCCTGGCTTTGGTGCCAGGCCAGGCTGGATTTGAATCACATCTCCAATTGTCATTACTCCCAGTAGTTATTGGGCAAGCCAATTGGACTCTTGAGTCTGTTTCCTTACCTGTGAAATAGGTACAATGATGGTGCTCACCTTGAGAGTTATTGTGAGGTTTGGCAGAGTTCATTATTGATTAATGCATTTATTCATTCAACAAGTAGTTGTAGGTGCCTAGTGGGTCTTTCATTTGAAGCACTTGGCGCACTGCCTGACAAGTTGAATACTCAGCTACATGTGCTACTTCTCTGAGCCTCAGCTTCCCCTTCTCTAACAAAGGAATAGTAATGCCTATCTCCTTATATTTTGGAGGAGAATTAAATAAGATAACAAATGTAAAGCTCCCAGCACAGGGCCTGCTGTAAAAAGGGAATTCATCTTTCTTCCGTAAGCAGCTCTTTAAAAGTTTGTCTATAGGAGCAATTAACTTCTTTAAACAAGGTAAAAACAAAGAAAAATGCCTACTAAAGGAATAGTAAGGAACTTGATGGGGTGAGTTTAAAGAAGAGCCACATTAAACATGGCTGACGTATATATGTGTGTGTATGTGTGTGTCCGGGGTGGGACATGGGCAGAATGCATCCTCCAAATGACAGAATGGTCCAACGAGATGCAAAGAGCTATACTGTGGGCAAGAATGGGAATACTAGAAGTGTCCACATTGCCACGCCCAGCTCTAGCTTTTCTTCAGGTCCCTTAGGGACCATGCATAATCACATTTTGGAAGAACCTCCAAAACGTAAAAGAATAGATGGGGGAAACTTGTTAAAATTTCCTGTTGTGGTATTTCATATAGCCTCCAGACTTCAAGGTTGGCGGCAGCCAGCTTGTTCTTAGAAGGTGATTTTAATCCCAGTGGCAATATTCGCTACACTCTCTGACCAGCCCCTCCCCCAGGCCTCTGTCCTCTACACCAACAGCTCTGATGCAAATGTCTGTTGGGCGGTGTGGGGGAAGGGGGAGGCCCTCAGACTCTACCTGGCTCACCATCCTTCACAAGGATGTGGCTGGGAAAGATGGCTGAGGCATTTGGAGAGTCCCTTGAACACTCAATTGGAGTAGCTACACTGAGGCCTTGGGAAAGCCTGGGACTCCTAGAAATACAGAATGAGGAATTCACTCATTGCTGGGAACCAACTTGCCTGCCATGCTTTACAATCATATAGATAGATTTCTAGCCATGTAAGTCCCGAAACGTAATCAATATGAGTTGTACTGACAGCTCCTAGAGTTAATGTGGAAAGGTGTGAACAAGTTATTCCATATCGGTACAAAAAGGACAGGTGGCAGTTATGATGGTAGTATCCTGGAAATACAGTATTTTCTCAGCTGTCCAGCAACATGAAAGACTAGGGCAGATGAGGCCAAGCAGTATCGTTTAGGCCAGTGTTGCAACTCCAGCCAATCCAAACGACGTGCTGCTTTGAAAGCCTGGAAGAGGCTGAGCCTAAGAAACTGCTGTTGACTCAATGAATAAAAAGTTCTAAGAACAAATTGAATCCTTCTTTACCTCATTTTAGTCTTCTTTCTTTTTGGTTTTTAACTCTTCCTTCCCCTAAGGAGTTTTCTCTGAATCAGAGGAAGAACTAGAATATTCCAACCTATGAAACTGAGTTCTTTTGCCGATGGCTACCGAACTTGGTTAAAACTCCATCTGGTTAACTTACCCTGCACTGTGTGCCTGACTGCTGCTCTGGCAGTTTTTCCTCAGATAAACACTTTGGGTAACAGAAAATGAGACTGCGTGAGACCCTTTAAGCTTTGACTTGAAAATATGTGTCCTCAGCCAATATCCCACAACTGAAGAGGCCAAGAGAACTTAGAGCCTGTGAATCTTCTATGGTTTTACAGTGGGAAAGGATTAATATTTAGTCATGTTAAGGGCAAACAGAATGAGAAACAAATGGGGAATTTAGGAAAAATGCTGCATGTATGCAGGAGAAAATAATTGGGCATGGAAATTAAAGTGATTTTTATACGGCATGAAAACGGCATAATCTGCGTGCTGGAAGGGCTTGCCAGGCCTGGTCGAGCAGTGGTTGAAAATGTGGGGCCTTCTCTTTGGGGTCCCCCCTGCAGTATTCAGCTCCTTCACCACCTGACAAGATCTGCTATAGGAGTCAGGAGATGGTGTGGAAATTTACCTTCCATATCCTGGGTACTCGGGGTCCTTTTATATCCTTTCTCGGAAAGATTTCTATCATTCAATTTAAATTTTGTAACTGATTACCAAGGGAAAGCCAATGTTAAGACTTACTTGTATTGCTGGGTAAAATATTGGTACTTTAAGGGACAGTAACCTAAATTCACTAATTAATATTTAGAACATAAAATCTAAGCATATTCAGTTAATAAAATTGGCAAATGAATATAATTACAGGCTTGCCAAATTGATCATAAACTGTAAATGAAATATAAACATCGGTTGTTTCACCATATGGAATTTAATAGTTTACAAAGTTGAGATGGTCTCCATACTGAAGTAACTAAGGTGTCCCTTCTTTCATGTAAATCTAGGGTATAGGGAGTAGAAGCACAGCTTTTTTTTTTTTGGCAATATAAAATGCACACCTGTATACTTTATGCATAATTTTAAATAAAAATAAGGGTGGGCGAAAGGGATAAAGGGGCACATGTGTATGATGACAGATAAAAATTAGACTATTGGTGGAGCTGGCCTGGTGGCGTAGTGGTTAAGTTCATATGCTCCGCTTCGGTGGCCCAGGATTTGCAGGTTCACATCCCGGGCACGACCTACACACTGTTCACCGAGCCATGCTGTAGCAGCGTTGCACATAGAGAAAAACAGAGGAAGACTGGCACAGATGTTAGCTCAGGGACAATCTTCCTCAAGCAAAAAGAGGAAGATCAGCAACAGATGTTAGCTCAGGGCCAATCTTCCTCACCAAAAAAAGAAAATTAGACTATCGATGGTAAGCATGACTCGGCCTATACAGAAACTGATAAAGAGTAATGTACACCTGAAATTATACAATGTTATAAACCACTAGGACCTAAAAAAAAAGAGAAACATGTAAAAGAGTAAGTAAAAATACGGGAAAGTCGTGTATACATGTTTGGTATGTGTGTGTTAATAATTTAAACGTTAAACTAACTCTGCAGTAACATACTGGATATGCTTAATATGTAACTACTTAGCTGTCATTGGATTACTTTTATCAACGTAAGCAACCCAAATGATATGATCAAATAGCATGAATAGTTTTCTTTTAATCTGCTCTTAAAGATTTTAGCATCAGTGTTCTTAGCCCAAGGAAAATAGGAATCAAAAGAATAAATAATTCCCTCATAAACAATATAGAATCTATTGGTTTCAGATAGTTATTCTTATTTAAAGCACTGTTTAATTTTAGATTCATTAGTGAAATTTTGCTGTTATCTTCAGGCTCCTAACAGTATTGGCTTTGGGAAAGAGAGTGAAAGATCCATGATAATGACCAAATCAATAAGAGATGACATTCCTTCAACACAAGAGAATCTGGTCAAGTGGGCTTTGGACAATGGCTATAGTCCAGTAACATCATACACAGTGGCTCCTGTGGCTAATAGATTTCATCTTCGGCTTGAAAACAATGGTAAGTGCGATTTTTTTTTTTTTTAACTGTATTAAAAATGTCCCCCAAATGAAGCTTTCCAATGAGGAACTCTTCTTGCAGCTTATATGGTGCTGTTTTTCTATTGCAAATTTTATGATTTATTTGACTACTTTTTACTGAAAAGCTTAAAGTTATCTGGAATTGTGATTATTTTGAGGAAACTATGTTTAATACAGATGTTTCAGTCACACACAGTTGATATTATAGATCACCTTCACTGTGATTGCATTAAGGATAGATTGGCCTGGCTGCTTCTTGCAGTGGTACCTAATAATCACTTACAGCTGAGAGCCAGGGCAGTTGGGACTGCAGGAGAGAAGTCCTAGGTCAGGCTGTGTCTTATAGGAAAATAGTCACAAGGACTCATCTATGTGCTTTCTCATTCTCACCATAGAGGGAATGCAGGAGTTATTACCCCAGTTTGATGGAGCAGAAAGCAGAGGTTTAACAAGTTCTTGGGGTTTTCCAGAGTCTCATTGCTAGCAAGACTCAAATCCTAAGTTTTCTAACCCCATAGTACTGCCCCTGAGTGCAGTGCCGATAGAATGCAGGTTAGGAGTACAGGCTCAAGTCCTATTTCCGCCATTATTCACTGGTGGCGGGAGTTGCTTAGCCTCTGAGCCTCAGGTTGTTCCTCCTCAGTAATGTCGGGGAAGCACTAGGCCCTCCCTCACAGGGTTGTTGTGAAGGATATTGTCAAATACAAATGAAAAACCCTCCAAAGCTCTGATTGCTTTTCGACCCACGCAGCTGTGCCATCTTTTTCAAAAAGATAGTATTGAAGGAGAGTTTTGTCCCCTGGTCCTCTTCACTTCCAGCTCCCACTGAGATGGATTGACCTCAAGCATACGTCCATTGTCTTTGGAGAGTGGATGTCAAGAAGACTGGGGAAATTTTTTTTCCTCTAAATTGTTGAAAATATGACAAAACACCAAGTATTGATTGTATGGAAATACGTCTTCCCCTTTGAAGGAATAAGTGTGCCTAAGCAACTGTTTCTTTTTTCCTTCAGGACTAAGTTCTAAAAGGCTAAGTTGCCCAGATACCTTTTAGAATTTAGCAGTCAAAAAGGAGGTAGCAAATAATTTTAAAATACCAATATTATTTTAAGAAATCTTTACAGAGAAACTATTCTAAAGAATCTCTAGATTCAAGGAAGTATTTCAGTGGCATTTGAATGGAATCACATTGTCCCACACAACTTATTCAAGTTACAGATTTTTTATAGCTTGTAGGGCCTTAGAAATCATCTAAGCCAATGGTTCCCAACCTTGGCTATATGATGGAATCATACGGAGAGCTTTAAAACATATTAGTGACTAGATACCACTCTAGAGAGTCTGATTTTTAACCACCCTCGGGTATAGCCTTGGTATAAGGATTTTTTTTTAAACTCCCGAAGTGCTTTTAATGTACAAATTTGAGAACCACTGATATAATCCAACCTTTTAATTTTAAAAATTAGAAAACCTAGGCACAGAGAAATAAGCCACTGGCCACAAGCCACTCAGTCAGTTAGAAAGAACACCAGGACTGGAATTCAGGCTCCAAACTCCTCGTCTCTTTTTTTTTTTAAAGATTGGCACCTCAGCTAACAATGGTTGCCGATCATTTCCCCCCCCCCTTTTCTGCTTTTTCTCCCCAAATCCCCCCAGTACATAGTTGTATATCTTAGTTGTGGATCCTTCTCGCTGTGGCATGTGGGACGCCGCCTCAACATGGCCCAATGAGTGGTGCCACGTCCACACCCAGCATCCGAACCAGCGAAACCCTGGCCCACTGAAGTGGAGCGCATGAACCCAACCACTTGGTCATGGGGCCAGCCCCTCCTTATCTCTTTTATCTATTGCTTGTTAAAAGTGATTTTACCCATGCTCATTCTGTGCTAATTCCTCCTGTTCTTGCCTCTGATGATGATGATTATAACCTGGCATCAAACACTGATGATTTTTTTTTTTGTCCTCTTCTGTCACTGCCAGAGGAGATGAGAGATGAGGAAATCCATACCATCCCTCCTGAGCTACGGATCCTGCTGGACCCTGGCATCCTTCCTGCCCTGGACAACCCACCCATCCGGGGTGGGGGAGGCCGAAATGGAGGTTTCCCCTTTCCCTTCCCTGATATCTCCAGGAGGGGCCAGAAGGAAGGGGGAGAAGATGGCATCCCTCGGCCAAAGGACCCCGTCATCCCCAGCATACGGCTGTTTCCTGGTCCCAGAGAGCCTGAGGAGGTGCAAGGGAGCATGGATGTTGCCCTGTCAGTTAAATGTGACAATGAAAAGATGACTGTGGCTGTAGAAAAAGACTCTTTTCAGGTCAGTGCAATTTCTTAAAGGAGAGAAGAGAAGGCCACCTCCCTCCCCAGCTTGCCCCCCAGTACGTGTTAGTTATTTCCCTCCAGCTCTTTCACTTTTGAACTCCGGCGACTTGATACTGTTTTCTCAGTTGGATGGGCTCACTTCCCCTTGGCTGTGATTCTCACCCAGTTCCTGTTGTTCTCAGTAAGGGGGTTCCAGATCCTTGTGTGTCAATATTTTGCTATTGAATTTCCAAAGCCAACAAACACAATCCTTGGGCTGTTGAGAGGTGGTAGCTGGGAAGAGGTAAGGGGGGAGGGGGCATCAGGCCTCCAGCAGCCTTTACTTGGAAGACAGGCAAAATGTGGTAACTGTGCTGCAGTGCTACCCGTGGGCCCCCCTTTATGTCTTTGATGGTTGTTTCAGGCCAACAGCTACTCAGGGATGGAGCTCACCCTCTTGGATCCTACCTGCAAGGCCAAGATGAATGGCACCCACTTCATTTTGGAGTCTCCCCTGAATGGCTGTGGTACTCGGCACCGACGGTCAGCCCCTGATGGTGTGGTTTACTATAACTCTGTGAGTGTTCTCCAGAACAAAGGTTGGCCCTTTGCCAGAGTCTTGCTGGGTGTTACCTTAAAATTAGTCTTAACATTTCTATAACAATGAGGAGGGGCATATACCCCAGACCTGAACAAAGTCACTTGTCAGTTCTCAACAAAGTGGGATGTACTTTGACCCTGAACTTGTTTTATTTGCTTTATTGGTGAATCTGTGGGAGTTGCGAGACCCTGTTTTCTTGGTTGGAGCATTTGTGGTCATCTCTTCCAGCCGTCCTTCCATCACCTGGTGACAAAGGGTTCACTGGCAAGGTGATTATGATTTTTCTCTCTGGCCAAGCTGCAGGATCAAATGGCCTGGTTCTTAGGAGGGTAACATCCAAGCCCTTGAGCTAAGAGTGAGAACATCTACACAACTGAGCCAACCAGAACCATGGTCTCTGGCCTCATTTGAGTCTTGTCCAGAAGTGGGAGGACTTCTCTCTCCCTCGTGAACAAAAGAACCAAAAAAAAAGAAAAATCTGAAAAGGGCCTTCAAGAGATTATTATCAAGTCACTCTCCACCTCTAAGAAAGACCCTAAATTGAAGAAAATCTACTTTTGGAGCTACCCAAAGGGAGATTTCAGATTCTCCCAATGATAATCCATTGCAATAGCTAACACTTTTGAGAAATCCTTCTTGTCAGTTCATCTAAATCTTTTCTCTTCCTATTAAATCTGTTTTTGCAGAGATAGACAGTAGGCAGTGAATACTGAAAGAACTTGAAACATGAAATCCCAAAAGAACTTTATAATGTTAATTTGGCAGTTCAAGTTGTACTTTTAGTGGTAAAAACAAGGCTCAAAGATCCCCGCATCGAGCTTTGACATGGTGTGTGTCTGTGCTCGTAGCCCCTACTCCAGCTTTGGCATGGGCTGGGGAGGGGTGCAACTGCTCCTCCTTGTTCATTGCACTGCCGGTTGATAGATACGCTTGACTCATCCAGAGAAAAGACTGGCAGTCAAGTGCTCCAGTTGGTGTGGCTCATGTGGAGACTGACTCTCCTGTGAGCCCAAGTTTACTGTTCCTCAGACAATCTTAGAATGTTTGAGCTGGAAAGAACTCTAAGATGATCTCATTCAACTTCCTCATTTCACAGGTGAGGAAATTGAACTCCGGGGAGTTAAAAGACTTGCTTAGATTTGAGGGACTAGTTAACGGCAGAGCCAGGACTGAATCCAGCTTCCTGACCTCTCGTCCACTAATCTTTCCCCGACACCAGGCTGACCCAGCTAATCTCCCTTTGTCTCTGGAATAATTTTTGACTCTATGATGAACACCCTCCTGCCAATTCCAACACGAGTTTTCTTGCAGTTATCCAATTTTTCCAGATAGAATGAATGTCATATATTACTGATATACTTGATTTTGGAATTTCAAACTTGTGTCTAAATTAACACCAATAAGAGGCTATGGTAATGTGTCTATTAAGTAAAAAACTGTCATTTGCCTCAGAAGAGAATGGTATATCATGAGCCCTTAAGATCCCTTCCTTCTCGGGGCCAGCCCCAGGGCCAAATGGTTGGGTTCACGCGCTCCAGTTCAGCAGCCCAGGATTTAGCCATTTTGGATCCTGGGCGCGGACATGGCACTGCTCGTCAGGCCATGCTGAGGCGATGTCCCACATGCCACAACCAGAAGGACCCACAACTGAAATATACAACTATGTACTGGGGGGCTTTGGGGAGAAAAAGGAAAAATAAAAATCTTTAAAAAAAAAAATCCCGGAGCCAACCCGGTGGCGCAGCAGTTAAGTGCACATGTACCGCTTCGGCGGCCTGGTGTTCACCAATTCAGATCCCGGGTGTGGACATGGCACCGCTTGGCAAGCCATGCTGTGGTAGGCGTCCCACATATAAAGTAGAGGAAGAAGGGCACAGATGTCAGCTTAGGGCCAGTCTTCCTTAGCAAAAAAAAGGAGGATTGGCAGCAGATGTTAGCTCAGGGCTAATCTTCAAAAAAAAATCCCTTCCTTCTCGTATGTATGTATGTATATATATATATATATATATATGTGTGTTGATGATGATGATGATGATGACGACGACGACGACGACGACGATACCTGGGGTAAGCAATACCCTAGGTCTTTGCTTCAATTGCATCAATACTTTTGAGGACCTGGTAAAGAATAGAGAGGCAATTATCCTACATTCTCTTAGCATTCTACTCCCTTCAGTGAATATTTTAGCTGTTTATTCCAGTTATAATTGTTTGTAGCAATTTTCAACTTACTATATATTTTTGTTTTGCAACTTATTCAAAATCTAAGCATGTGAAACAAAAAATCAAACAAAAAAAAAGCAGAACTATCTTACGTATGTAGAGAAATTAGGATTTTATTTATGGAGTCATGGTTCATTCCCCATAAATGGGTGGTTTTTCATCTCATCTAGAACTAACCTAGAAATAATCATTTTAACCAGTGTTAAGATAGAATGTCATGGAATAAAACATGGTGTTCTTCTCTACATCTCTGTGCCATACAGGAAGATATTGGGGAAGAAATGTAGAAAAGATAGAGGAGTACAAGAGAAGAAATGAGGAGAGATAGTTCAATAGTAAACACTGGGTCCTTTGCTTCTAACTCACCAAACTTTATACAAAACTCGATGGATACTAATAACAAAAGCTCCTTGCGTTAGCCAACTCTTAGTATTTAGAATTTTCAATATAAGGAGAAGTCCCTCTCCCCCACAGTATAGGCAGGCCTGTTAACAACCCGATTGAACCCTGTTTCAGTGCCTAGTGTTTTCCACTGTTTGAAACAATTTGTATTTTTTCACAAGGGAAAATACGTATTTTAGTTGAAGTCTTAATTTGAACATGCATTGGGTTTCTCTTTCTTTTTTGTCTCTTTGAAGATGAAATCCTAAAAAAAACTTGAAGTTTCTTTTTAAGTCAGATTTTCAGTTTGCATTTGAATTATTACATGGGTATTTATATGAGATACAACCAAATGCATGTGAGTTGGTGTTTTTGTAACATTGTGCTTTCTTTGCCTTTTAGATTGTGATACAGGTTCCATCCCTGGGGGATAGTAGTGGTTGGCCAGATGGTTATGAAGATTTGGAGTCAGGTGATAATGGATTTCCGGGAGATACGGATGAGGGGGAGACTTCCTTCTTCAGCCGACCTGAAATTGTGGTGGTATGTGTTGTGTTTGTATGTAGTTTGTGGAGAATGTTGTCTTCTTCGTTGACTTTAGTTAGGAATTACTGGGGGAAAAAATGGGATGTTAAAGACCAAAGCTCATGTGATTTATCTCTGTCTGGATTTTTTTCCAGTTTAACTGCAGCCTGCGGCAGGTGGGGAAGCCCAGTAGCTTCCAGGACCCGCCCAACAGAAACATCACCTTCAACATGGAGCTGTACAACACTGACCTCTTTCTGGTGCCCTCCCAGGGGATCTTCTCTGTGGCAGAGAACGGACACATTTATGTTGAGGTGAGACTGGAACGTTAGCCTTGGGCTTGTAAGTTAGTGCTGGGTCGTCGTAGCTCCTGGGGCAGGAGCTGACGCATCCTGGAACAGACCTCTTCTTGTTCTCCCTCACGGCCCTTGACCAGCTCTGGGTGAGGGCTTGGCTCCAAAAACACTTCCAGGTTGATTTCTGACCAAAGCAGGAAATTTCAGGATTTGATAAATAGAGAGAACATTTTATAGATAAATGTTTTGACAAAATCGGCAGTGTGAATTCTACTAATAAAGCCCTGTCTTTGCTTTGTCCTTAGCGTTTTTGGAACAGTAGTTCAGTAGTTGCAAATATCAGAGTATTGCACTAACCATGGAATTATCCAATAACCGTGGAGTATTTCAAACCACCTCCCACGTTATCTTTTAAATTGTACACACTTTAGTGAAATGCTATGCTACCATATCTCATGAAAATTGTTTTTTTCTAGATCACTATCTAAATGTATCTGTAAATTTATTAAAACTATTTCCTATATATAAAACAGTACTAATCATGCATAGCATAAGTCTGTGGAATGACTACAAAAATATTAGGTAGTGGTGGTAGTAACAACATAGCAACATTTATTGCGGATTTATTTTGTGCCAAACTCACCTGTAAGTATCGTGGTAATTTTACTCTTCAAAGCCATCCTATGAGACAGGACTATTAATATCTCTGGTTTATGGATGAGGAAATTGAGGCATCTACTTGTCTAAGGTCACACAGATAGTTCCTAGTAGAGTTCAGAATCCAGGTTCACACTCAGGTTGTCTGTCTCAGAGCCCACACTGTTACCGCTGGATGCTGCTATCATTTATCCTCAAAGTGCCACTTGAAAGGGAGAAAACGTGACCTCTTAGCAGTGCAAGTATCCAGGTTCACAGACTGGATTCTAGAGAAGATAAATATCCTTCTGGCCCCGGGCTGTATGCTGGTCTTACAGAGAAGTCGTCATCTGATGAGCTGGTTTTGGTGCTAAGCCGCAAGCTGGTGTTATACTTCACCGTGGGAGGGGTGAGAAGCTTAAGGGGTGGAAATGGGATACTTCCATATATTAAAAGTGACTTCAGTGCACATATTTTTATTTTAGAAAGACAAATAACTCTCACATTTGTACTGAATCTGGGACGGAGCCCACTGGCTCTAGACGTTTTCCTGGATCTCTCCTCTTTGGTTCCCTATTCTGAACGGTTTTCTCTTTCTTTGGGTACACCTTCTTTCTCCACTGGGGAGAATAGAACGGTTTTCTACATGCTGTTCCTAATGATAAACGTCGTCTAATCCAAGATCGTTGTTTTCTTCTTGCTTTTCTGGCAGCACAATCCCCATGTGCAGTTGGTCAGTGACTCCTTTTTGTGCTGTGGATTTTATTGGTGCTGCTTAATGGCAGGCTGTTCTTTTCAAACCGTTGTGCCGGTTTTGCTAATTTATGGCTTTGCTGCTTTATGCTAATCAGTGGACCCATCTTCCTGTGTATCCTCCCCACCCTGGGTGTTTTGGTTTTTCTCCCCCATCTTCCCAGTGCTGGCTGGCTTGAAATCCATTTTTTTTTTTAATTCTTATTTTCCCATTTATATCTTTTCATTTATCATCTGTATTTTTCATAATTAAATTTAGTCAAAGACATTGTCAAGTGATAAAAAGGAAGTGGAACAAATCTCTCTGCTATCATTTTAAATATCAAGTACACTGAGGAGAATTTGGGGAGGGACGGAAATGTTATAAACTGCTTTATTTTAAAGTTGTTTTAAATTACCTAAAATATGAGAGAGAATTCGTCAGTCTATTGCTAAATAGGATAGCAGCCATGCCTCATCTGTGTTTCCCAGTTTGGGCTCCACTACTGATAAGAAATTTTTTTACTTAGGGTAAGTAAGTAAAATTTACTAAATCATTGGCTTGGTCTAAAGAACTATTTCCAGGTTTCTTCTCCCAACCGTCTTTGTCACATCCCCTCCCAGAATCCTCTGTTCCCTGTAGATTACAGTCCCTTCCTTTAATCCAAGACATTATCAATTTTGCCGCCCGGTCTTTGGTCATCTCTGGGTGATAGTTGGTCACATAATGGTAGCTTTTCTTTTTAGTTCACTTGTCTTAGGGAATTAAAAAATCTGTTTATAACCCCCAGAATTTGAATCTGTCTAGTACTACTAATAATAGCTGGCATTTATTGACCAGCTGGGAGCTGTGTTGTTTACATGTAATTTTGACTTTACAAATCCTCACAATAACTGTATCTAGTCGGTATTAGTGCCCTCATTCTGTAGGGGAGGAAACTGAGGCTCCGAGTTCACAGTGCATGAATACAGAGCACACGATTTCCTGGGACTCGTCTCCCTCCAAAGCCTGTAGTCCTTCTACTCCTTTCCAGTCCATTTTAGAGTAAAACAATTATTGATAATACTTTTTTCTCCAAAGCAACTTTTTGGCATATCTCAAACCTTCTGCCATTACATACTTTCTTTGAGATTAGAGAAAAGATTTGCATTTCTTCGGTCACATTTTTGCATGGAGAGTCCTGAGTTCATGTTAAAGGGCGCTTTTGAGTAATAAGATATATATAATTTGCCATCTTTCCAAGATGAAATATCTTATTTTTCAGAAATATTCTAAAAATAATGAAGTGTGAATGTTTACGGACTACCAAACACTGCTTCCCAGAAAAATTTCTTCCCACGTGTTCTCCCACAGCCACATCTTGGGCCTGGTTGAATTGACCCTGTGACTGCAGTGGAATAGTAAAGAGAAAATGGACTCAGGGTCAGAAGACCTGGGTTTAAGCCTTGGTATTACCGAGTATTTGCTAGATATGATTTTGACTAAGTCATCTATCCTATATGTTCAGTTTTCCTCCATTTATTAAATGGAGATGAAAGTATTTATCCCCCAAGATTGTTCTGAGGCTTAAGCTTTAAGGCACAGCAAAGTGACATTACTATACCATCTTCATTGTTGAGGGTCTTGAAGTTCCTACATAGGGATCTTTCAAAATAGTGCTGCGGACAGAAGGCTCCATATGGTGTCAGGGATTTCCCCTCCGTATCTCAGAATGGAAAGTGTGTTCATATCTCCATGCTTTTTGAAAGGATTCTGGGGCTGTTGGCCTATGGTTAAGGACTAACTTTATTTCTAAAGTGTTTAAGTTTATTTTGATCCTACGTTTAGTCAAGGAATGAGACACAGAAGGAAGAGGCAGTTCATACAGTGATCCATGTGTCACCAAATGGAGAATCCAGTCTGGTCTGGGGATTTTAGCTGAGTTCAAGATATTCGAGGTTTGAATTCTGTTTACACTTGGCCAAACACTACTTCTTGTTTCTAAAGAAAAGAACCTTAACAAGATTTGGACATAACCCATACAAATGTTTTGTAAGAGGGAAGTGTAAATGAGTTGGAAACGTTTCCAGATTAGATTTCCCTTAAAATACCCTCGGGCTTAAAGAGTGAAGGGAGAGTACTTGGCAAGGTCTGGTTGGACCTGTGAGCAGCTGGGACACTTGGCCAGGCCTGTGATCGCCACCAGATTGCACCGTCCCTGACATCCAGCCCCAGAGGCCAGCTCTGCCTGCTCACTGCAAAGCAGGACTTTAAATGAATCAGTAGCTTTACTGCAATATTTTAGGCTCACTTGGACTTGTTGCAATTTAGAAGTTCATTCCTCCCTGCCTGGGTTAAAGAGATGGTGCCCCTGTATTTTTTTTTGGAGCAATTTTTAAAAAGAGCTTGCTTAACAAGTGATACGGTATTGTGACAGTAGGGGCTTTGCCTGTTGGTGTTTTATTTATTTTGGAAAATTCACTTTAGGTGCATGATGTGCTTTTATTTTTATCAGAGGACTTATGGGAGGCTAAATAGACTTATTCATCTTGTATTGGAATCTTCCAGGCTGGCACTTGAACTAAATAATTCACTGTCACCATCCGTATCAAGTTTGAATGGAAAACATCTCTTTGTTCAATGAGTCTATGTTACTTTTGTAATTAGAAAGAAGACTGTATAAGTATGTTGTGAAAGTTGAAGCAATGTCTCTCATCAGAAGGACCGTGTTGTATGTCACCCTTGTGCCTAAAGTAAAAGTGAGGTGCTAACTCGTTTCTGAATCGATCTTTCTGTTCTTTTGTAGGTATCTGTTACTAAGGCTGACCAAGAACTGGGATTTGCCATCCAAACGTGCTTTATCTCTCCATATTCGAACTCCGAAGGGATGTCTGATTACACCATCATTGAGAACATTTGCCCTAAAGACGAATCTGTGAAATTCTACAATCCCAAGAGAGTGCACTTTCCTATCCCACAAGCCGAGATGGATAAGAAGCGATTCAGCTTTGTTTTTAAATCTGTCTTCAACAGCTCACTGCTCTTTCTGCAGTGTGAGCTCACGTTGTGTACCAAGAAGGAAAAGGACCCCCAGAAGTTACCTAAGGTTCGTGGACCTTTATCCATTTGTACTGTTATTTTGACATTTGTAGGTGAGGCAGTGGCCTATGGAGAAGTTTCATCACGAGTTATGGCAGGTTGAGGTTTGGGGTTTGGGAATTGCCCAATTGTAGTAACAAAGTCCGTGTTAGCAGGGAACTGTGAGTTTTATGGAGTCTTAGAGAATAAATCCTGACAGTATGATTTTTTTTTTTTTCCATGCATGCTACTTAGTAGTATCTTACAAATTATAAATCAAGACTGTTTTCCATTGAGGGAGAGGTCTGGCTTTATCTTTGCTATTCAGATAGCGTGCGGTGCCAAAAGTGCAGAGAGCCGAAGGACAAGCTCAGTGTGAGGATTAATTTTTCCAGGTCCCGCCAAGACTTGTATTGCAATTGTCTTTTGACCTTCTCTGTGTGAGTTATAGGGTTGACTTGTCTCAGGAGGACTTCTAAGGGAAACTAACAAATATTTTAATTTTTCTCGGTTTCATGTCAGTTCCTGTTTGCCTCACGTCACTCCCCATATTGAACGAGTACATTCTGTTGCCACAACAGAAATCAGAACCCTTTGACCTTGCTGAAATGGCTACTCTGGGGGAAATCTGCAAGGTTCATTACCTCATTAGTTTGGCCTTGTGTGTGAAAGGTGTCCTTTGCCTTAGTTTTGTTTCTGTGATCTGCCATAATTATGTATAATTTCATATGTGCATTTATTCTGTAGATATCTCACACAATGTAAGCTGACTTCTGATCCTCTTGTAGTCACATATCAGTCAGTGTCTAAAAGTGTAATAAGCCAGCTGTATCAATAATGTATTGTATGTGTGGAATTCTCTCAATTAATACATAGATTGTAAGAGATCAGTGTAGAGGTAGAGAGAAAAATTATTATTATCAGATAGATTACCATTGACCTGAATCCTTGGCACTGTTATATTCCCTTGAGCATTCATTTCTTCAATAACACCAAAGAAAATTTTATAATACGTATGAAAATATAGCAAATCTGGTTATAGTCATCAGGGAGCACATATGTATAGGGTGATTTAGATTGTGTTCTTTAGGTTGCTTTTGGAAACATTGATGCTGTAGGGGAGGAAGAGCTTTCCTCTACCCTCTCTGGGTTCGTCTGGCCGGAGAATGAATTAAATTCACATGAGACAAAATAGCAGGAGAAAATTAAACAAAGCTTTATAACATGTATGCATGGGAGAGACTCAGGCAAGCTGAGCAACTCGCCAAAATGAGTGAAGCCCCCACCTTAAACATCATCTTCAGCTAAAGACAAAGCAGGATGTTGGGGGTGAGGAGAGTCAGTTACAGGAGGTTACCAGAAACAGGAGTAAGATTATTATGCAGATTTAAGTGCTTGCCTTTGGCATTGATTAAGAGTTTCGAGAGATAAGGTCATCCCCCTCTTCTTCCTGGTACAGAGAGGGAGGCTCCTTTACAGATGGAGATTTCCTTTACAATGTAAATGTCTCCTAACAAAGGGCAAGCAAGTTCCACCCCTCAGTTGCTTTCCTGTCTGCAGTTTATTAAAAGAAACTAGCCCCAAATAATCCTCATGCCAAAGAGACATATCTTGGGGTGGCCAATTCCAGGCCCGCACAATGCCTTGGCCTTGTGGACATTGACCTTCCAGTGGCCCTCAAGGTTGGGGCTCAGTGGACAGTGGTAGAAAGCCCTGGGGAACTTAATGCTTGGCTGTGGGACCCAGCTGCTTCCTGCAGGCAGAGAGAACTTTTAGGAGTTAGAGATCTAGCGGGGGAGGCCTGGCAGTTACCAGGAGTCTTTACTGGTGGCTTTATTTATTTATTTTATTTTATATTTTATTTTTATTTATTTATTTATTTATTTATTTGAGGAAGATTAGCCCTGAGCTAACTACTGCCAATCCTCCTCTTTTTGCTGAGGAAGCCTGGCCCTGAGCTGACCTCCATGCCCATCTTCCTCTACTTTATATGCGGGACGCCTACCACAGCATGGCTTGCCAAGCGGTGCCATGTCTGCACCCAGGATCCGAACCGGCGAGCCCTGGGCCGCTGAGAAGCGGAACGTGCGAATTTAACCGCTGCGCCACCCGGCCAGCCCCTACTGGTGCCTTTACCTGTTAGCTTTTACCAGCCTGTCCTGTAGCAGCCCAGCTTCATATCTGTGAAAATTAGTCCTAATATTTCCTTCCAGAGCATTCTAAGGAGAGCTCTAAGTCTCAGAGGATGACCTGGGATGTGACGCTAAACCTAAAGTCGCTATTTACAGTCAAGGCAAGATGCAATGGGAGGAGCATGGAGACTGTGAGGGAAGGCCTGCTGCTTCCTAACAGGACTTTAAGAAGTCCCTTGCTCTCTCAGAACCGGCATGTCCTCATCTATAACACTGAAGTAATAGTACCCAGCTTCCCTCCTGGGTAGAGGAGCAAATGAGACAATAGATATGACAGTCCACCGTTTGTAGAGCGCAGCTGGGATGAGCTGTTACCACTTTCCTTCTGTTCACTGCTTATGGTTAATATTTCCATATTCTGTTGACTTCTGAGTACTTTCTAGACAAAGCCAAAGAATCTTCTAGGAAGAGTTCTCGAAGATCTTTGAGTCCAATTCTGCCCTTTGCTGATGAAACTGAGGCCAGAGAGTTCGGTGTCTTGCCCAGGTCATGCAGTAGGTTAGTCACAGAAGCAGCGACTTACTTAACTAAAGAACTAATTGGCAAGTAAGAAGGCTTTTCCTAAAATACGGATCCTCTCAATAATGGTTCCTCTCCACGGAAAAATCCATTGTTTCACTCTGTAAGAGGGCTATTGTAAAGACTTTCTCTGTTTTTGAGGGGGAGAAGAAGGAGTTGTCTTCTTGTAATATGGGTCTAACTTGCATGTTGCTTAGAGCAGCAGTGACAATAAAGCCAAAAAAAGTCTTTGCTCTTTTGTGCCTGGAAAAGCTGGAAGTTGATTAACTTTCTGGGGTGCCTTGCTATAGACTTTTAAAATGATTGATAAATTTCTTCTTACAACAAAAGTGAATGGATGTCATTTACATTAGAGTCTCACCTACTGCGGAGCTTAGACCAGGAACCAAAGTTATTTTAAAGAAAAAGGCAATGGAACGTGATTATACTTTTTAAAAACGGATACACTGGGCTTGGGCATGCTAGTTCTAAGGTTGGGCCTTAAAATAGCTGGAAGCAGCTGATCGCATGGCCTCCACACCTGGGCACAACTCCCCAGGACTTCATTTTGGGACATTGAAAGCAGATGACCCTGGAAAGCTTCATTTTGTGTGAGCCTATACCAGGATTAAAAAAAAATCGAACATACTCAACAACATGATTATCTTTTTGGACAACAAATGTAAAATCTGTCACCATCATAATTCAATACACGAAGTTTCCCACAGTCACAAATCACAAACATGAACCATTTATGTGAAGCCAGCTTGGTGAGGGGCCAACGTTTGTCTTATGGTTTCTTTATTTTTCAGACTAAATAACACTAAAACCTCCAGTTGTTTCATGGGAAGACAGGAGAAGAAAAAGACAGTATTTATAAGCTGTCCAGCGATATTTGCATCTTTAAGTGCAGCTGAGAATACACTGAGCCTGCCATTATATCTCCCAGATTATTTGTGGTTCTTTGAAAAATACCCGAATTTCCTGTTTTTCTGTGGTAAACAACTGTGAGCTGTGTGATGAGGGACACAGGACAACTGCAGGCAGAGCTGGTGAAGCCCCTTTTCGAGTGACCCCTCAGCTCTGTGCTTTGCTCTTCCTCTCTGCAGTGCGTGCCTCCCGACGAAGCCTGCACCTCACTGGACGCCTCGATGATCTGGGCCATGATGCAGAATAAGAAGACGTTCACCAAGCCTCTCGCTGTGATCCACCACCAAGTGGAATCTAAAGGTGCGTTTCGGGAGGCTCAGTCAGAGAGTAGGGGCCTGCGGGCTGCTTGGGAAGAAGCTCCCATACTGTAAATCAGAGTCCAGTTTTATTCAAAAGATAGATTAATGCCCAATTAGTAGCTTTAGGATTCTTTGCCCGAGGAGTCTTTTATTTAGTTAGCTCTCCTGCTGCCTGTGGCTGTTTAGTGATACATTTGCAAGTGATCCTTAAATATTGATCCTCCTTAAATATTAGATCAGAGTCAAGATTGTCCCTGTCACGGTGTCACTCTGCCTTGCGTTCACATATGCCTCCTTGAGTGTGCAGGAAAGGGTTAGAGTTCCTCCTAGCATGCTGGCCTTGCACCCAGTCCACAGCCCATCTTCCTGTGATCTTCTGGTAAACGTTGTGCTGGCTACAGCCTATTGTGGTGCTTTGTCAAGATCGCAGGTGCCTTTGGGGAGAGTATTATGTCTATGAACACCATCCTTCTTAGGTGCCAGAGCAGAAAGAAGGTTGAGAACCACTGTCCAAATGCATTTTTATAATTTAGTTTTTGGAATTTTACAGTCACATTTGTTTCTTGAAGCCAAGAGTGCCTCTTCCTACACACACAGGAACATTTAGCAAAGTGCATCTTCTGGGAGGAAAGAAAGGTTGTGTCCCACAAGGTGTGGCATCAATACTGGGAGGACAGGTGGGCAAAGCCAGGCCTGGCATAGGCCGAGCCAGCCAAACCAGCAGAGAAGCAGAGTTGGGCTCTATGGGGATATTAGGAATGGATACGAGGCCCTCTGGACTGTGTGGAGAGTGTCTGACAGGGACCAGCGTCACACATCCAAGGGCGTGAACAAGCAAGAACGCACCAGGCAGCTGTCAACATCTGAGAGGGTGGAACCAAGTGTTGCATGGGCTATCTGGGCTGTTGGAGTTGTCACTGTCTAGATACAATCTGTGCCACTCCAGAATCCTTGCTGTTGAAAGGTGTCAAACTCAGAGAAGGCTGGGGGGAGTGAAAGTGGATTCCAAGCCTCTGGGGTTAGATATTTCCGGACTAATGTCCCAGGCTGCCTTCCACCACCTTGAGGGGCAGAGAGGAGCCTGGCACCAAGGGCCTTGACAAACGCCGATGAACAGCCTGACTCCAGCTGCTGGGCGTTAATTGGGGGACCTGCTGGGTGGTGCTGACACCAGATCTAGGCTTGGGGCAGCCCAGGGATGGCATTTCTGAACTGAGCATTGTGGGATTTGCAAGACTAGGCAGCAGGGGCAGCCCTGGAGCGGATAGGACCTAACAGAACAGAAGCATGCGGATGCCATCCAGTTTCTTCTTTGGTTGAGTGGCCTTTGTGAAAATAGCAGAGCCATTCCTACTGTCATATCTGGGGTGGCATCTGCCCCTTTCCTAGGAATGTGCTCACTTTGGAAAGGCAGGAGAGCATAGTGGGGAGGGCACTGGCTTAGAACCAGGAGCCTGGGGCACAGCTCTTAGCTTTTCCTGCTGACTCCCTGTGGGACTTGGGAGACCTTGTCCCTAGGTTCATTTTCTTTCCGTGAAAAAGGAGGAGTTTGGACTAGACGACTTCCAGAGGCCTTTCAGCTGTAACACTCAGCTGTACTGTTTGAAGAAGCAAAATAATTTTTCATTCATTTCCCGGCCATTTAAAGTTGGTGTGAAATGTGCCTATTAGATGTTTATTGGTTCCTCAACAACGTTTTTGTTGTTGTTTGTTTTCGTTTTATTGGTTCGTTTTCAATGATTTGAAACAGTTATAACCGCCACAGTCTTTCTATAAATGGATTGCCCAAATAGTTTGTTGTTTATTGGGTCCAGGGGAAAGAAAGAAGAATAAATGAATTGCGCTGCAAAGTATATCACACTGGGCAGCAGCTGGCTCTGTTTTGTACTGTGAAAGTGGTTTAACAATAGCAACAGCTACCTCATACTCCATCTGTTACTCTTACCTATTTTGGGGGAGGTAATTCTGCTGGTAATTGAAGGCGGCAGCTTGCTTTTTCCTATGCCAGACAATAATTAGGCGTTAATATTGCAGCAGTATAACTTCCAGTAATTCATTCATTTTTCTTTTAAGTCTAGTGGTATTTTTCTAAGTAATTCCTCTTGTAAATTAGGTAATTACCTTTATTTAAATATAGTGTAATTATCCTGAAAGTTCAGTGCTTTCTTTACGTAAAAGTTCAAGAGGAAAGTTTTACCAAATATCAAAGCAATTTCATGAGATTTGCTAATTGAGATTAGAGTTTAGTGGAGAAGCATGTGGTGAAGAAAGTTTATTGCTTCGGTTTGTTCAACAAATTGAGGAGATTACTGTAGGCCAGCTTCCCAGGGGCTATATGCAAATATACTTGCTAACTCTGCCCTGGATAAGGGAGGTTTCCCGGCAGTTTTCAACTCGGTGAGTGACTCCTCTCACCTTTTTTGTTTATTTTCTCTTGATTCTAAAATCATTTCTCCTCAGTGCGGGCCAGAGGAGTCTGCTTTCCTTCTGACTCTCAGTGAATTGGAATAGTCAATTGAAAGGGGAATATGACCATTTGCTTAATAGTATTGGTTTATTTGAATAATAACAGGGTCACAAATGTTCTTCCTACCAGACAGCTTTGTGTGTTACTGTAGTAAGCACAGATACTATAGTATCTCTAGAAGTGGGTAGATCTCTTATTAGGATTAACTTTTTGGGTAAAAATTTCCCAACCAATGGGACATTTCACTGGCCTTTCAACTACACAGGCACTCTTCAAAGGCTGTGCCAAAGTCCCAGCTCTCTCTGGTAATTTGGTCCATCTTATTTCTCAACACTTGGGTTTTCTGGGACAGCAGTTAAAGGCTCTGGTTATCACCTTCACAGCCAAGCTGAGAACTGCTCTGTAGCTACCGATGCCAATAGCACGGACACATTTCAGGCAGTGTTTCTGCCATCTCTGGACAGAGAGAATAAGCCATCAAGATTGAATAAATAATTCTAGGTCCTCCTCTGGGCAACTGTTTTTAGTGGAACTTTCCTGAGCTTCCACAGCATATTTTGGCTATGTTTGCTCTCTCAGCCCCTTGGGAACCAGTGTTGGGTTAGCATTGTTTTGCTGCTTAAACTTTCGGTAATTGATGATGGTGCTGGTGGCAATGATAGTGTGATGGAGATGATGATGATGATTAACATTTATTGAGCATTTACTTAGTAAAAGGCTCTGGGCTAAATGCTTTATGTGGATACTTGTATTTAATTCTCTTAGTCCCTCTGTGAGGCAAGTAAAGAGTGAGCTTAAGTGACTTGGCCAAGGTCACACCACATCTAAATAAATGGTGGATCTGGGATTGAAATCCAGGCACTTTGATTTCCAGATCCTATGCCTTATCCTAGGTGGTAGCTGATTCTAGTATTTAATCAAAACTGCAAGCGGGTCTGGCCCCATGGTGTAGTGGTTAAGCTTGGTGTGCTCCACTTCGGTGGCCTGGGTTCACAGGTTCAGAAACTGGGCGTGGACCTATACCACTCATCAGCCATGTTATGGTGGCATCCCATATATAAAGTGGAGCAAGGTTGGTATAGATGTTAGCTCAGGGCTAATCTTCCTCAAGCAAAAAAAAAAAAAAACCGCTGCAAGCAACATAGGCAACTATCTCTTCACACCCCTCTTCCCACCCCCTTCCCCTGTTCATGTATGTCACATTGGTATTCAAGTTAACAGCCCATACTCTAATGATTATGAACTAAAAAGAAGATAAAGAATTTTAGAAAAAGATCTGTTCACGCACAGGGTTAAGATGCTGGGAAACATGTAAACTGTTTAAGAAAGTATTAGAGGTTTGGAGAAGTTCTGTGACTTCGAAATGTAACTCACGGAAAAACCCAGAAAATGTGAATAGTTTATGCATTTTACGGTTTATGGCAAAACAATTAAAATAGTTGAGGTGGTGCCACCCTACCATATTTTCTGAAATATTTTGAAGTATAGGCATGTTAGTGCTGTTTGCCTTGGATGCGGTGACCACTTTTTACAGCGTTTGAGAACACTTGGGCTTACATGATAAAAATGGTTACACCACGTCAGTGATAATTTTTTTTAAATGATGAAAGGGAAGAGTAATCATTTCTCTGAATTTAGGGCACATAAACAAGAAAATGGACATAAAAGAATAATAAATATCATCCAAATTTGCCATAATTTATATACAATATGTAAATCTTAGCAAGTTAGATGTTTAAAATACTGAATTTTCACCACATAACTTTTTAAAAATAAAAGTGTGCTCAGAACAGCACCTGGCATATCATGGTACTCAGTAAATGTTAATTTCCTTTCCTTCCTCTTAACATCTTAACCAACCTAGGTTTTTCAGGGGGAGTGGAAGGGAAAGTCATGAACGTCAGTTGGAAGTTAATCCAAGAGAGGCGTTACTTTTTGGAACACATTTGATTTTTCCAGAACAAAAATACTCTAAAGCATCATCAGCCAGGTTTTGACCTCAGGCTGAGGTAAAGATGAGGGGAAGCTGAGTAGAAAGATGGTAGAAATGCCTAATCGATAGGCCAAGGCATTCGGTCTCTATCCAGTAAGGGTGGGGGGCGGGGGGCGGTCACTGGGATTTTCTTATTCACTGCGCTTCACATTTTAAAAACTTCTTCCTTTGGAAAATTTCAAATATATACAGAAATAGGGAGAATAGTAGAATGAACTCCCACGAACCCTTCATCTGGTTTCAACAATTACCAATTCATAGCCAGTCTTGTCTTATCACTTCCTCTCCCTGGATTGTTTTGAAGGAAACTCAGACATTTCATTTCATCCATAAATATTCCAGGGTGCACCTCTAAAAGGTGAGAACCATCAAAAGCTCTCGAGTAGGGAAACTGCTGATTGGATCATTTAGGAAGAGTGCTCTGAAAGCAGCGTGAAGGTTGGGTTGCTGGGGAATGTGCACAATAAGAAGAAATACATGGTGTTTACACTCATTTATTCCAAAAAGTGTTTATTGAGTACCTGCTATATGCTTGGCATATAGTAGACAAATTAGCCTGTCTTTAAGGCCTTTACAGTCTGGTGCAGAGTTTCACAACCTTGGCACTATTGCCGTTTTCAGCTGGGTTACTCTGTTGTGGGGGGTTGTCCTGTGCATGTGGATGTCGAGCAGCATCCCTGGCTTCTACTCACTAGATGCCCGTAACAAACCCCTCCACCCCCAGTTTTGATAATCCAAAGCATTTCCAAATGTCTCCTGGAGGAGCAAAAATCACCCGTAGGTGAGAACCACTGATCTTGTAGAAGGATGCAGATAAGCAAACAGGTAATTGCAGTGAATGCTATAAATACTGAAAGAACCTAGAGAAGGGGTTCATTTACAGTGAAGTAAAGTAAACTACAACTTAAATGATCTGCACCAGCTCCCTCATCTCCCCCTCCTCCCCTCTTTGCCAAATAACGATCACTGAGGGTACCGGTTAGACACCTTGTTTCCCTGTGGGCCTGCTCTGTCCCACTGTGTTTAGAAGAACCAAAGTGAAAGCTGGAGGCCAACAACTGTGGTCAGTTACTCATGCATAACCCCAGAAATATTCCTTTTATGAAAACCATGCCTAACAATCTGAGGAGGAAAATTCTGGTTCAAGAGGCAGACCAAAATTTGCTCAGAGTATATGAAAAGATTTAATTCAGGATGTTGATTATAGTTTTTTCTTTCTGTAAAGAAATCTTTATTGTTAAAATTCTCTTTACAGCGATAGCTAGGATTCCTTTCTTACCATCTTACCCTTAAACCAAAAGTAAATATTGTTGTATCCACTCTTTTCCTTTCAACATGCCAGCTCAATTATAGGGTTCCGGTGGAGATCAAACTATTTTAGTAATATTCAGTGGTTATTGGGGATTTTGGAAGAAAAAAGTTAGAGGATAAAATCCTTTAACCTCAGTTCTGCAGCTTGTGCGTGTTATTGTTTATGTGCAGAAATCGGGAAGGAACTTCACCTCAGGGAAATAAGCAACAACTGTTTCTGTTTAGCTCTGCAAGAAGGCCCCTATTTGGGGTGGGGGAAGAGGATTAGATCATAACGTAAGTCCATTAAGAATTTTAAAACAATGCCATCCATCACACAGGCCTTGCTCTAAAACGTAAATTCTCACATGTGAGGTCTCTTTAGGGGAGACTCATTGTTTAAAACCTCATGGGGATTCTGAGTGACAAAGTCAAACCACAGCCGGTTGATTGGATGGACCTCTTCCCAGAAGTGTGTATATTTCTTGCATGATGCACACCATAGAGACCTTTAAATGCCTTTGGACTTATTTCAGCAAATCAAACCACTACTTCTGGAAAGTAGGAGAATTTTGTGGTTAGATAGCCCTATTTTATAGGGTTCTTAGGAGTTTAAAATGAAAAAAGGTAAGTGAAGGCTTTTTGTCAGTTGTAAGACACTATACAAATGTGCAAATGGAAGGCATCACCGTTGTTATTTTATGCTGCTTTTAAGGCTGATGAGACCAAACTCCCAGGGATCAGTCTCTTGTGTGCAGTTTGTAGTTGGTGTGTTTTCTGCATACGGAACTCAATTTTCTTAAAAACAGAATTATTTTAATTTTCTTTAAGTATAGCTTTTGCATATATCCTTATCCCTGCGCCACCGTGTTGCACAGCTCCAGGGGGCACCGTTCACTTGTGGTGGCTTTGGTTCATCCAGGGGCATATTCTTTCCGTTAGAGCTGGACTGTGATGCCTCATGCTGCAAGCATGTCATCAGTCCAGCTGAGAGGGTTAATCCTGAGAATGCACAGTCCTGTCTAGCTTTATTTTTATATACAGCAACTCAAATACTGCTTGTTTTGGTCAATTTTTCACAAGTTCTTTTCACTTCACTGTGAATTCCAACATAAGGTGTGTCTTCCATCTTTACCGAATGAAAATGGAGATGAAAAGAGAGGCGCTAAAAACTGATCACTTTTAAACTCTAAAGAGCAGGGGCAGAGTCTGTGCCAGGACTCAGCACACATTTTTTGATAAAGGGCCAGATAGGGAATATTTTCGATTTGTGGCTCCTACAGTCCCTGCCTCAACTAGTCAACGCTGCCGTTGCAGCATGAAAGCAGCCGGAGACAATACGTCCTTGAAGGAGCATGGTTATGTTCAAGTGGAACCATATTTATAGAATAGATTTGAATTTCATATCATTTTCACGTCATAAAATATTACTCTTTTGATTTTTTTTAACCACTTAAAAATATAAAATTGATCCTTAGCTCATGGGCCATACAAAAATAAGTCTTGGGCCCTTATATGCTAGCCCCCGATCCATGCTGTTCTCACCATTGAGGATAGCGAGTAGCTATACGCACGTAGTTGCTTAATCAGTGCTCCCCCAGCTAAGGACAGCACACTCACCATCATTTAGCCTACTAGGCAGAATCTGCAATTCTGCTTCAACCTCTGCCCTGATGCTTTCCAGCTGTGACCTTGGACTAGTCACATGATAGCAGTGTTAGGCTGCTCGTTTGTAAACTAGTGATAAGAATTCTTTTTCTGCCTCCCTCTCAGGGCTGGTGTGAACCTCAGATGAGATCATGGCCATGTAGCACTTTCTGAACACGAAAGTATTACAGAAATGTCGAAGCATACAAGCATTTTCATATGGTCTTATTCCAAGTTTCCTGTGCTGCCTCCATTTTCAAAAAGTACATCAACATTCTAATCACCCTTCACCAAGCTTTTCTGACAGGGCTATCCTATGCTAGGCTGAGCCCTGAGGATATGCAGAGGAGTAAGAACTAGACCCTGCCCTCAGGGCAGAAAAAAAATTAGAGAACTACGATGTGATGTGGCATATGTGTAACCAAAGAGGGATGGAATGAGCGAAGGTGGGAGAGACCAGCCCTGCTGGGGTAGAGACGGGGCGATAGGAGAGTCAGAGAAGGCCTCCCAGTGAAAATGCCAGCAAAGCAGGTCTAGGGGAGGTGGGTACTTCAGGGGGACGGCTTGCAGAGTGTGATGACGTGGAACAGCATGGAGAATTTGGGGAGCTTAAATGACTGTCAGGAGCCCGGATAGGTGAAGGAGCCCATTAGGAAGGAAGGCTGGAGAGAGGAGGTAGGCAGAATTTCCTGCATAATGCTAAAGAGTTTGGAATTTTTCCCTATAAAAGAAAAGGAGTCATTGAGCGGTTTAATCAGGACAATAACATAATCAGCTCTAGGCTCTGGAAGATTCACTCTGGGGGCACATAAAGAGGAGAAGATCTTTGGGCCGGGGGCAGTGGTGGAGATGGGAGACCAGTTAGGGAAGCTCTGTAGTAATGCCGATGAGTGGTGAAGAGGAGCTGAGCTGTAGGAGGATAACATTAAGGACAGAAGAATAAAGATGGTTTTACAAAACCTGTGTACGTTAAATTGAAAGAATGTTTGAAAGTGGAATAATACTATGAATACACTGGAGAAACACGGTATGAAAGGTATTGAATCCTTTTGTAGATAAATATAAAGGCAAACACACACACACGAATTGTCAGACTCAGATTCCTTAAGTTTTAAGTATTTGCCTTCAAGTCTTCAAATTGGAGAGCCTATACGATTGATCATTAACAAACTACAGTGCTTAAAATTTCTGAGTAATCCATCCATGTTATGGTTTTGATATCTAAAGAGGATAAGTGCCAGAGCTTTCACAAAGTACGTATCTATTAACAAAGAGAAAAGTGTCAGTCTCTGCTGAGATCTTGGTGACCCTTGCTTCAAACTTGATTTCTCTGTGGAATGCATTGTGATTTATGTTTTTATTTCAGAAACAGGTCCAAGCATTAAGGAACCAAGTCCAATTTCTCCACGTAAGTCTTTATGCAACTATTTCGAAATAAAGCCTCCTGGGCTTATATAAGAATGAGCTGGTTATGGAACATTTGCCAAACTTTGAGTTTTGATAAGGAGACTTCTGCTCTCCTCCCTCCCTGCTTTGTCTTGTACTTTCTTTTTCCTTTCCTCTGTCCTTCCTTCATTCTTCTTTCTTTTTTTCTCTCTACCTTTGCCGTTTATAAATATGAATGTGTTGACTCATTGACATGTCTGGCCTTAATGGGAAGGTAGTAACTTTCTTCATTTAAGAGAGAAAAGTTAATTATTTGCATACTTATATCATTGTGGTCTGAAAGCGTTAACATACAGCTATGGCAGTGGTTTGCTTTCCGGGTCATCAACAGTATTTACCTGCTCAGAGAAGCAGTGCTAAGGGAACTAGTTGCTGTGTCTTCAAGACAATTTCTAGTCCAAAGGAGCGGGGGAGCAGGGCCTTGTAAGAAAAAAAATAATAATAATGCAAAATGATGCGTTGGAAATTGTCTGGGCTAATTTCATCGCTTTGTTATCCAGAAGAAAACTCTGACCAAGAAATATCTAAGTGTCTTGTGCGTGGTTATAATTGGCATTGAGGCAGAACCTGGGCTTTCTGGCTGTGTACCCAGAGCTCTTCTAGATGATGTTGCCTTGTGAGGAGAAGCTCTGCTTTTTTCTTCCCTAAGACTCTCGGGATTAGTCTCTGTGGCTGACCCCATCACATGCACATAACTGTCAGACTGGAGAGTTCCTTTCTAAAGGACTCTCCTTTATAAACCATTCTGTTAAATGTATTGTTTTAACAATATTGTGAAACAGTATCACGAACCCAAAAAAAGACACATTTGGACACGTTCTCTCATACTTACCTAGTGTGATTTTCATAAATGACATCTCCATCTTTAGAATTTTTTCACTAAAAACTTTTTTTTTTTTTTGAGGAAGATTAGCCCTGAGCTAACATCTGCCGCCAGTCTTCCTCTTTTTGCTGAGGAAGACTGGCCCTGAGCTAACATCCAGGCCCATCTTCCTCTACTTTATATGTGGGACACCTGCCACAGCATGGCTTGTTAAGTGGTGCCATGTCCATACCCGGGTTCTGAACCTGCAAACCCCAGGCCACCAGATCAGAATGTATGCACTTAACCACTGTGCCACCGGGCCAGCCCCCACTAAAAACTTTTAATCATGCCTCACTTTTGCATCTGTGAGCATTAAAAGGCAAGTCATCTTTTAGTATCTGTCCTACGGACTAGATTAAGTTAAATTAGGTTGATGGCTTGGTTTGTCTTAACCTCCAGGGAGTTCTTACTCCTTCTAGGGGATCCCCAGCAGTTTTATAAACTTTGTTTACCCCTTGCCTTTAGCGAGTGAGGTAGTGATAGCCCCATTTTTCAGAAGTTGAGTAACTAAACACACCAAAGGGACCAGAACTTGGGAATTTGGATCCTTCTAGGATCTTCTCCACCATAACATCCTTTTCCTGAGCCATTTCCAGTGCTGGGGCTGCTCAAGAGGCACATCTGCCTCCAACTGGATCTTTCACACTGAAGTGAGTTGAAAGGCAAAGAAATTTAATTGATATAGAGATCAGCTGGAGTCGCTTCTGACTGGGGAGGAACATAGAAACAGTACTGAAATAATGGAGAGATCCTGTACCTTCAATTTATGTTAAAAAACCAGAGACCTTAGAAGTTTTATTCTACTAAAAACCCCTCTCCCTTAGAAACTGATTTTAACTTTTTGTAAGTGATTCAAAGAAGGTAGTTCTCTTAAATGAAAGGAAATGTTCTATTTCTGTGGCCTGGAATTAATTTCAAACATAAAAATCTTTGCCAAATGGAGGAACAATTGGTTCTATTTATATGTTTTGCTGACCAGAAAAGTGACATCACTCCCCACTGAGAAGTATTTCCGTTCCCCTCATGGAAAGATCACGGTTGGAAAAGTGTTAAAAAGTAGGTTGTTTTAAATGACACAATATGTAATGATTAAGATTGAGGATTCAATATGAGGAGATCAGTGAAATGTTATAATCCACAGGAATTGTTTATCCTTATTCTGTGTTTTCTCCTTCTCACCCCCTTTCTTCTTGCTTTCATACTTTTAAATGTTCCTGAAAATATGTTTGTAAAGTATTTGAAGTGTGTTTTCTGTGTAGCATCTCACTGTTGGAAGTGTTCAGTGAATAAGAAGCGAGTCAGATTTTGATAATGGAAGTTCACCTTTTTTTCTAAAGCATCTTTTTTTTTTTTTTAAAGATTTTATTTTTTCCTTTTTCTTGCCAAACCCCCTGGTACACAGTTGTGTATTTTTAGTTGTGGGTCATTCCAGGTGTGGCATGTGGGACGCCGCCTCAGCATGGTTTGACGAGCGGTGCCATGTCCATGCCCAGGATTTGAACCGGCGAAACCCTGGGCCGCAGAAGTGGAGCACGTGAACTTAACCACTTGGCCATAGGGCCAGCCCCTTTTCCTTAACCTCTGAATTTTCGAGCCACTTTAGCATTCAAATAGGAGGTCCTCAGACTGACACAATGAACCACAGACTTAAGGTTTTACCAAGTTTACAAACCTGATTCTTTGGTAAGTTTGTTGCTCAAAATAAATTGCAAACTGAGGATATCTTAGAAATCTGATAATTTCATTTTTCTTTGGGGAAAGAATTTGCAAGCCACAAATACAGTGTATTTTGTTGGAATCCTCATTTCATCCTCACTTCTCTTAGTAAGTGCTCAGCCTGTCTGACAGTGCTTGTGAAACAAAGATAAAATTGCAACATGTGATGCAGACTAACTTAAAGTATGTCTTGGCTTCCCTCCCTTTTAGCAATTTTCCACGGTCTGGACACCCTCACTGTGATGGGCATTGCGTTTGCAGCGTTCGTGATTGGCGCTCTCCTGACGGGGGCCTTGTGGTACATCTATTCTCACACAGGTTAGTGTGACTTTGAATATTAGTTGCTGTACATCCTGTGTGTCTGCCACACAATAGACACTCAGTGTTTCCTTGCAAGGATGAATGGATGAAATAACGAACGAGAGAAAGTTCATTCCCATTATTTCCACATTTACATATTTGGCATAAATTGGGTTTTATGCAAACATATAATTTGCTTTAAGCAGCTTTAGAAAAGGAAGGTTTAAACTATTTATGTTATCGCAATTGAGATATTGGTGAAGTTTAGCTCCTAATAAAGCTATTTTGTGGTTAGGATTTAATTAAAGAAAGTTAATATAGACAAACTGGAAATAGAAACTATTCCCCCAAAGCTTAAGACTTCAGAATAGACATATAAATGGGCATGGAGAGAAGAAGGAAGCCAAGGTTTTGTTACCACATCTGCCAAGGGTGCTGAGCAGTGTCCGCCAGATCCCTAATCAATGACTTAAACCAGAATTTCTTGACCTTTTTTAAACCCATTCCATGTCCTCTTAGATAAACATAAAACTCATGTCTTTCTATAAAGTTATTTAAATTTTCAAAATATATTTTCATGAATTGTAAACAAAAATGGTGAGACAAAGCAGTTTATTTTCGAGGTATGCTCCTCCGCCCGCTAGAACTCGAATGCCCCTTCCTCCAGTCCCGAGGCTGAAACATTCTGGCCTGAACTGAGAACCTCTTCTAAGCCCCATACAGACTGCAGGCCAGGCAAGGGGCGTCTAGAGTGCAGAGGGGAAGGAACAAATGGACTGCCCTTCTGCTGCTGCTTTCTTAGGTTCCTTGCAAATAGGGGAAGGAAAGATGTGCATTTTGAGGCACGTCTAGCGAGCTAGCTTTCTTGTTTCTTCCTGGATTCTTGTTCTTTACACTGTGAACCTAGGTAAACTGTCGTTGGATTGGTCTTCAGAGACCAGTGGCAGGCCCAGGCTTTCTGTTTAGAATTTTCCTAATTCTCCATTGAATCACTGAATGCCATGATCTTGGGCCTTACCCTGGGCCTTCCAAGCTGAGAGGATGACTGCTTGAAAGGGGAGAGAAGCACTGAAGGGCGCTGCGAATCCTTATCAGAATCTTCACTTCAAATACTGCATCCTCTGCCTGAGTTCTTTTAGACAATGGCAGAAGGAGAGGAGTGAACCCTTTGGTGCCCAGCACAGAAAAGTCACAAGATCCAGAGCAAAAGTTTAGGAGAGTTTAGTAGAGGGGCTTTGAGTCCTCAAAGTATTGTCCTAACCTTTGAGTGAAGTATATTTCATGTGAGAGAGAGAAAATAAGACTCTTAAGTATAATAATTCTGAGGATATACAAACATCTGTGAATCAGTTTAGGAACATTCTTCCTCATGAACGGTTTATACAAGTACCAGAAGGGACAGCTTTTAGCAGAGTAGTGTCTTAGAGTAAATAATTTTGTCACAGGAATACTGACGTGTTCAGATCACAGACTTACTGTTCTTTGCAACTTTTCCCCTCTCCTGCGTGGCTGTGAGGTTCTAGGGCTGTTGGCAGCTGATGCTGTACGTTGGGAATGAACTTGAAAGTCCTCCAGGAAGACTCCATGGCCCTGAGGATTTGCTATGGGCTAGTCACCCACAGACACTTAACGTGTGCCTGCTGACCCATGACTTGCCTTGGTCATAGAGCTACACCCTCAAACCCTGAAAGCTAATCTTAGGCCAGGTAGGGCCAGGAAGCCAGGTCCAGGCAGAATAGGGCAGCCAAATGGCACTAGCTGTTGGCACACCCCACCAGACTCCCTCCCATGAGCCCAGACTCCTCTCCCCAGCCAAGCTCACAAACCTGATAAAAGGTCAAGCCTGGTTTTATGGCATATATGACTGCTCATTAAATTCTGAAGTTTGTTGTTACTGCTCCCCTTTCCCCCAAACTGGAGACTTAAGGTGCAGTTTTAAAGTTTTGTTAATACAGAAATAGGTTTGTGAGTAGATTAAAGAAAAGCAAAACCAAAAACTCTTCCTATGATGGTTTCCAGCAAAATAAATTATGCTGACTTGGAAGCTGAAAGGTTTATAGACACTGTCATTTGGGCTCTAAACCTGCTAGTATCGCGTGTGATACAGCTTCAGAATGACTTTTTATTAAAAGCTGTAGCCTCTGGTTCATTTTAAAGACTGCTCATAAGGGATATGAGCATCACACAAGTGTGAAAAAGGCTCACTTCAGGACCCAGTGGGAGTTTCCTGTCCAGAACCCCCTCAGTTTCGTACCTGGGTCAGCTAGCAGCAAGGTTAGATAAAAAGAGAGGATAATAATGCAGAGGCCAGTGGCGAGAGGTGTGTATACAAACACTGACTCAGCCCACTCAGTGTCCACAATACCATAAGCCATGGAACTCAGACCTTATATGGTCTATTTGGGGTTCAGGCGGCATCTGCCTCTATGTCAGAAAGAATCCTTAATTTGGACAACTTCCCTTTGATAATGCTTTCTATTCCTTCTGCAGTACAGAACACAAAACCAAGTCACATGTTTGGATTGTGGATATCTACTTACATACCTGGAATGTGTGTTAGTCTAAAAAAGCTGGGTTCTCACTTTATCACATGACAGCTTTGGACACAATAAGAGAGACTCCTTAGCGCTATATTAACTCTGTTTGGAAAACTCCATTCCTAAGACATACATTCCCCACTAAGATGGCACAGAGAAGAGGGCCACTCGGGGTGGAAATGGTGCTGGAATGGAACTATAGAATCTTCACTCTCCTGGAAGCCTAGCTTAGTTCAGGGGTCCTTAACCTCTAGTCTATGAAGGTCCCAAAAGTCATATGCAAAATTTTATCTGTTGTATTTTTTGAGGAGAGGGGCAAAAGCATTTTTATTTTTTAGTAAAACTTGAGCTTTATCACAGTAGTACATGCATGTAGTTTAAAGGCTGAAATAGTTCTACAAGACTTGATATGAAAAACATGAGCCCTCTCCTGCCCCACCTCCCTTTCCTTGCTCCTCTGAGCACCATTTTTGACTCTTAGCGGATTCTCTTGGACATTAATCCATATCTCTAAATAACGTGAGTAAATTGCTAATTCTTGACTTATCAGCTTTAGGCTTTTTCTGTCCCCCTCCTACTACAGACAATAAAAATTTAGTTCTCTTTCACCTCTGTGCCCCAGTTATATGTTCAAGCCCTTCTTGTCCCCCTGTGGCCACCATCCTCCTAATAGAATTATGCTGAAATTTTGGTTAGATCAGTATTTACTGTTTACATTATTCTGACTACCTAAATGCTAATCACATATTACTGTTTTTCCTCACCGTTCTGGGGATTCCCTGCACTTCTGAGTTGTGGATGTCCTGTGTCATATATCCCATGTCTTCCTCCTTCGTGGTTTAAAGGGGACCTAAGAGATAAATGTTTTTCACACCTTGCATGTCTGAAAACATTGTCATTTCATACAAACACTTGGTAGATAGTTTGGCAAGGTATAGAATTTTAGATTATAAATAATTTTCCTCCAGAATTTTGAAAGCACTCCTCATTGACTTTTAGTTCTGAAGGTTGCTTTTGGGAAATTCAAAGCCAGTCAGATTCCTCACCTGTTTTTTTTCTTTCTGGAAGAAATTTTATGGTGATTCTCCTTGATCTAAGTGTATTTTCACACATTATGCTGGCCGTTAATCAAGCCCTTTCAGTCTAGAGACTCATGTCCTTCAACATTGAGTTTTTTTGCAATTAAACAGACTTTCCTGTTTCCTTCCTGGAGGGTGTAGGTCTCGCTGCCAACCTTCTGGGGGTCCCAACATTCAACATGTAGACACTCACTTAATCCTCCTCTTTCAGTGGTTCTCTACTCTCAGCTGTGCCTGGTGTTGGTCATTCCCAGAACCCTCAGTTTCATCCTCTTTAGAGAGTAAACTTCCTGTCTTCCTCCCGGATGAGGAAGGGCAGGGTCCCAGCCCTGTGGAGTAAAGAAGGGGATTTAGAGAAATCTTATTGCTTCTTATACAGCAGTGCAGCCAACTGCTTATTGCCCCATGTTCATCCTCTCTTCTAGGGGTACCCGATGCCACCATTTTCCTGGGTTGGTTCTGTGTTATAACTTGGTTGTTTGTCAGCGTTTCCTACTGTTGGCTTAGGTTCTGGCTCTCTTAAATCTGCTAAGTCAGTTACTACTCACCCATTCCTCTCCAGCTTCCAATATTTTATTACTATTGTCTCCACTCTGGCTTGCTTTCCTCTTGTAGGTTTATGCCTTGTAAAAATCTGTAAATTGTCATTTTGGTAAGATTTTTCCCCTTGGCCTGTGAGTTGATTGCATCAATGCATGTCTCGATTTCTTGATATCCTAACTAATGATTTTGCAAGCTCACTCCTGTAGTGAGTGAACTAGAATATCTTTAGAGAAGTTTTCAATCACTTTTTATCAATTTCAAGAGTTATCCCTCCCCATTTCCAAGCGAAAAGACCTTCTTATTACAGGGAAAACTGTGCAGGAGGGGAGGGTTAGATGCTATATTTTACTCTGTGGCCCATGAACAGGATGCACTCAAAGTCTGATGATAGTAAGAGAAGGCAGAGGGAGGCCACCCTCCCTGTGTATCTCTACAATGCTTAGGTGTGGGCTATCATCAGAAATTGGACTTGAAGCTCTAGTTTGTTCAAGTACTAGTCTTGTTACCCGAGATAGATATATTAACCGTGTTTCCCTTTAGGGAACACAGAAATGATCTCTACGTCACAGGGTTATTGGAGGCAAGAGTTCTTAAACAAGAAATGCATGTGAAAAGCTTTCTAAACTCCAGAGTCCTACAAAAATGTAAGATATTTAAGGGTGCTCAGATGTGTAGGCAGAAAAATATCAAAGAGTGGAAGGAACATTGTGTTTCACAGAGCAAAATAAAATGCTGAAGTCTTGAATGAGCTGTGCCTGTCCCCATCCCTCGGGCTTCTGTGCGACAATTCTCAGTTGAACACACCGTGTGTTCTTAAAGCAGAAGTCAAGCACATACCCAGGTCCACCTGAGTCAGGTAAGAGCTTTTGATTAGGAGCATCTCTGGAGGCTTCATGTGTTGTTAGAGGTCTGAAGTTTCTTCAAGTCCCAAGTATAGTCCAGGTGAAGAGAAAAATAGCAAGAAGATGGGCTAAGGTGTGACAAGAGTCCCATGGATCAGAAAAACGCAGCTAGAGCAGATGGGGAACTTGGTGTGACTGTAAAGAAGGCAGGATCCACTCATTCAGCCAAGTGCTCGGGTTAAGTGAGAGTCAGATGCCCACGGAAAACCAAAGTGCAGGTACAAGCAGGTTAGACCCCCTTCAGGAAGGTGGGAAGAAAGTGGTAGGCAGGACATTTTGAGGGATTTTAATTCCTGCCTTGGAACATTTCTCCCTTTCCCCGTAACTTATAACAACATCTAAGCCAACTCTCTTGCAAAGTTTTGACCGCAAAAGGGAAGTCTTAGCTCACAGAGTGGGGAGGGACAATTTTTGAAAATGACAAATAGTGATTGAAAACTTCCCTAAACTAATGATAGTTCACTTTGCTAACAGGAGTGAGCTTGTGAAATAATTACAATTAGGATATCAAGAGAATGAGACATTAATTGGTACAAAATTGCAACCAATGCCTAACGAAAATATCCTTGTTTTTTTCCAGCCTTAAGTAATATTAAATCTAAATCACCCCCAGGCATATGGTTTTCAATCCAATGCTTAAATATCTCCCGCCAAAGAGATTCTGTAAATTCCCCCTATAACTAACCAATCTTCATAATCAGCAAGTTCTTTTCTGTGTGACCTAAATCCCTGTTGCTGCCATTTAAACTCATTTCCTCATGTTCTGCCCTCAAGGGAAATAAAGGACAGCTGTTTGCTCGACTTTGCAATAATCCCCTATTGGCAATATTTGCAAACAGTCTTCTTTTTGCTAAATATTCAAGATTCCTCTCACCTTTCTTTAGCATTTTTCTGTTGCTGTTTCTCCATAGAGCCTCTCCATGTCACTCCTTTCTTTGATAAAATTTCTTCCCCAGGACATGCCATTCTGAGAGACTTACAGATAAGAATACAGTTGTAAAGCAGACCGCCAGAGAGGTGGCAGGGAATCAGATCTGGACAACTCCATGCCCAGCTAAAGTAATAAAAGAGATTATCCCTTAAAAAATATATTTTTCTGTTTTCTAAAACCGTCTCATGAGTATCTCATGTTCCAAATGCCTCTTTCTCCTGCTCACTCTCTCTCCTCCCCAAATCTCTCTTCCCTGATGTAGTTTTGAGATTTTAGGAGCAAAGCATGAAGACTGAACATATTTCTTCTGATGGCCCAATGTGATGTTTCTAAGCAGGGAACCTTCCTGGAGCTCCGTACATTCGCTAAGGGGCCTGCTCTGCTTAGCCCTGAGGTCTTCCCTGTCCATCTTCTCCAGAAGTAGGCTGATTGTACTCATCACTCAAGAGACATTTTAGAGAAAGTCAGTGCTCCAAGACATCAGAGGTCACTGTGATAGAGAGCAGAAAACCAAGGGGGCCATCTTGGAAGACCCAGGGGACTCTGTTGGCTTTTTAAGCAGACACATCTGCACATTAAACTTTCTTTGTCATGGTGAATTTTTCTGCAGTGCCACTTCCATCTGACAAAGGAAAACTTTCTCTTAATTTCTCAAAAGAGAAAAGTTTTTAACCACCTGGTTATATTGAGAAATCTCATATTTACTTGTGAAAATAGCCACAGAGGTAGAAGGGATAGTCTAAAGAAGATACTTTCAACATTTCTGAGCAGATTCTCAAACAAATATTCTCCTTGGCACGTTATTGGCTTAAAGTCAATAGATGATTGGGTTAAGTGGACTTGTCCACCTTGGTGAAATGACTCCTGCAGTCTGGAGTACAGGGGGCTTCTTTGTTTTGTTTTGCTCGGGGTTTCATTTTGGACAGTGTTTTCCATTAGCAGCACAAGAGTTTCCAAAACTCTGGAAGTTGAAAGACGTTTCTAATAAGCACTGATTAAAATAAACTGACATGGCAGCAGATAATATTTGGCAAATAGACATCGGAAAGCAAATACTCCGACTTCCTGGGCAGGGAGTGGTACTGGCACTTTTCTTGAACGTGAATAACCGAGTGCATGTCAAATTCTGGGTGAGACAGACTTGTCCACGGTCAGTAGATGAGGCACGGCCATCTTGCGTGAGCTGCCGTTACGCTGAACAAATGAAGCCCAGGTGAGCCAAAAAGGGGAGATGGAGTGTTGACTTAGCTCCTGCTTTTCTGATGTATCCTTTATTTAAGTAGGGAAAAGGCATTTTTAAAATATGCTTCACGTACAGCCACGTTAGTCCTTCTGATTGATAACATGAGGATCCAGCTGGGTGTGGACCAACATGTGGGTTGTAAGGGGGCTGAATTTTTATTCAGGTCTCTTGAGGTTTTTGGTTTTTGGAGGCTTTTTTTGTGGCCATCAGAATAGCTAAGAGATTTGATTTCCTTCTAGAAATGAAGCTCCCGCTCTGGGGAAAGTGAATTTCTGGCGGAAAGTCATTGTCATTGAGGCAAACTTCCCCACCTTTAATTACATACACACATGAAGGGTAGAGGGCAATGTTGGGAAGGGTCCAAAATAGATTGCCAAAAAAAGAAGAGTGAAAATACAGTGTGTCTGTGCCTCTGAGGAATATTGACCCCCGTCCCCTCTTTATGCCACCAATCCCAGAAAAAAGATAATCAGAGGAAATACAGCAAGGGCCAAATATGCAACAAGCATAATATAAACGCCCTGAGGTTGACGCAAAAATGTGTGTTGTAGCTGCATGGCTTGCAAAATGGGTGACTGAGAACACTGTAACCAGACCCAGGGGCAGGGGCCGGGGCTACGTTTTGCAGAACTGCTTTTTTGGCAGAGGCTTTTGAGGGGCCCCAGAAAGGGAATGGAAGTAACGGGCTAAGTTCCTGTTCTTGGAGGGCAGAGCTCGCTTGCTCGGGTGTTTTGTTTTAATGAAGCTGCTGGAGGGTTGCTTATCTTGGGCTGATAGCTGTGTATTTCAGCATGACAGGAAAGAGGAGGCTCGTTCATAAACAGACCTGGCCCTCTAGGGCCTCCCACATTGGAGGGGGGCACCGCTGACCAGACCTTTATGAAGTTTATGCTCTGACTTTTCAAAGAAAATGCAGTGTTGTCATTGAGAGCCTTGATCACTTTTCCCTACCTAGAGCCATTTTTTGAGGGCCGCCCTGAGGCCAGTTTCGCTGAAGAAAAGACAGCTCCAGAGCCTTTCGCAGTGCTAAATGCAAACCATGTGTGTGACCCAAGCTTTCCTCGCTCGCCAGAGCACTGCACATTTGGCACGAGGAGTGAGTTTAGCTAAAATGCAGTGGGGTGTGTAATGAAAAGCGGGAGGCTTAGTGCGTTAGGAGATGTGCTGCACCCCACAGTGAACCTCAGGGTGGAGGGGGTGTTCCCTGGCAACCACAGTCCCCCTGTGCAAACAGCTAAACCCCTTCCCCAAAAGGTTTTTCTGAGAGCAGGCTCCTCCCACCTCCATTTCTCAGGTAAGTTGTGTGCTTGGGGCACGTGGTTCTCTCTGTTGTAGCTACGGTGAAATATAGGCTTCACCACCCCCATTTTGAACAAGTGCCTTCATAAAAAGGCCCCCATACTGCCTAGGTTCTCTTATATTACGGTTTAAAGGTCTCACCTTCCAAACAACATCTTTATGAGAGGAGCTGGACAGTGTTTCCTGAATACAGGTGCTGGTCAGCTGCATCACACAGTACAGATGCTGGTGGTTTCTTCAAAGGTTGTAGACACTGAAGCCCTGGGGATACTTGTCAACTGTCAGGAATCTTAGCCACTACAACTGCCTGTCGGTCAGCTTGAAAGCAGTTCTTTTTTTCCCCATGCAAGAGGCTTTAAAAACAAAAAACACCAGCAAATAAAACAACCTTATGGCATGAGGCCTTCTGGTCTAGTTGCTTCTGCCCATCGTTGAGAAGAACATCAATCAGATAAGATGGCAGAGGAGGAAATGGTCTTTTCAAGAATGCACACACTAACATGCATCTTTCTTTGCGCTTTTTCTTTATTACCCACAGGGGAGACTGCAGGAAGGCAGCAAGTCCCCACCTCCCCGCCAGCCTCGGAAAACAGCAGTGCAGCCCACAGCATTGGCAGCACACAGAGCACGCCCTGCTCCAGCAGCAGCACAGCCTAGCCCGGCCCAGCCACTGCCAAGGGCAGGGCCTGACGGCTCGCGGCTGACACCAGGCTGACACCACGTGTCCAGACTCCAGACTCGGAAGGCTTGATTGTGGTTCCTTTGTAAAGAGAGAGTGAATTTCAATGTAAAGATCACCTATTGTATTCACCCCCACACCCAGGGTTAATATAAATGTGACCCCTGGACTTCTGTAACACACTAGGATTCATGTGAGAAAGCTAAGATGGTGGCCTTCTCCACCAGCCCCTCCCAGGCTTGGGGGTTTTCAATGTGAAACACATGCCAGTTTTTAAAATGCTGCTTTGTCCAGGTAAGAACATTCATAATTTGGGGCCCTCAGTTTTACCCAGACTCAAGGAGTTAGTAACGGAGAACAGCCAGATAGTAGAACCAGTAAGGAAATGTGGCCAAAGATTCTTTCATAACTGAACCAAGAAGTGAAACAAAAGAAACGCTTCAAGACTTTCTAAGTGGGTTCCTCCATGTCTGATTTGCACCTTCTGGATGCACACTTCTCACCTTGCTGCCACAGCCTGTGGGGGCCGATGTGTCAGCTTGATGGGTGCTGGCCTCAGGGACTGCATCCTGACACACATCAAGGCAACATTCCTTTCTTGTGCCCTGGGCCAAAACCAATGCTGATTACCTTATCAGCTTCTTCCTTCTCCCCACACTTGCACACTGACTGCAAAAATGTCTTAATGCAAATTTTGTATTTCTTTGTAGGCGTATAGAAATTGAAAATGGTCAAAATCTGGGACTGCAGATTTGTGCCCATTTATGACATCATATTCTGATAAATTAATATTAAACTGGGGCAAAATTGAGTTGTAAAGTTGAGGAGGAATTTGAACGGTGATTACCAGTACAAGTATATAATATGTCATCTGGCACATTCATTTTCTCTGTTGAACAAGAGAAAATTCATTCCCCTTTTAATAATGTCCTGTGCCTTCAGAGTTGGAACTTATTCTTAAATATATTTGGGAGAATTAGTGTTTCCACTGAAAACATATCAGCCTTTTTAATAGTTCCTTTTGTAAAAACCAAGCTCTTATAAGATGCAAATGCATGGCAGATCCTGTTGGATTTATTGGTTATCTTAACAGTATCACCAATTCTGCCAAGAAAGTGCTGAGATAGGGAAAAGGGCACTCATGATTGCTTTAGTTCTCTTGCCTTAAATATATCCCAACTCAAAAAGGATTTGAGGTGAATTTCATTAAAATGGAATAATATGATGCCACTCTGCAGCTAAAATAAGCTCAACTGATACCTCTATGTTAAAGAAGAATGCCAGAGGGAAATCTGTGTGCCAAATCATTCACTACTGAGGACAGCTTCATTGCAAATAAATAATTACTCGTTTTCCAGAATTCCCCCCAAACGACTTAGAATTCTACGGATAGCATAGGCTAGATTCTACCCCAAAATATTCATAAGCAAATCTTACTGCCCTTAACATAAGGAAGTCATGCCTGGTTCTCTGTGAATAGAACCTCAAGTAGGAAATGGTGATGACACCCAAGATCTGAGGGCCGTGTCAACCAGGGACACAAATAGGGGGCAACTGATGATCATTGTTATCTAATCATAGAGTAATAATACTCTGATTGATTATATAGGTATAGACATTCAATCAGGATAAATTTTAACCAAAACAGATTGCTTGAGAGCTAAGATCTCCAGGCTATCTACATTGATAATTTTCCACATACAAATGAAGATAGGAGATTACAGAATTTTTTTCCTTCAGTTAACTTTTTTTAACATAAAGGTATCAGAGTGGAGGACCTAGATTACGCTACCTGTGTTTGAAAATAATGCGCTTTGCCTAACCTTCAGCAGAATGTATTGTATTAGCATATTCTATGTATAAAAATGTTTAAAGATGTCTTCAAAGAAGACTAGAGTCTTTAAGTCACTTATAGCTATATTTTACTACAAAAATTTGTGTATAAGATATATTTAAGTGTTTTAGATAAATTTAAGTTACTCCATATGAAATGTTTAATTTCAGTTACTGTGAATTCTTTTGATCAGTTCTTTGCTTTAAAAAAAAAACCCTTTACATCCTGCTAAAAAGAAAATTAGCTATTAAGAGATATTAAAAGATCGAATTCATAGATGGACAGGGTTACAACCTTTTGTAATATATTTAAATGTATATTTTTGAGAGAGATGCTACATTACCAATGATTTTATAAATAATTTAAAGTTAATTTACAAATTTATAGATGCAAACCAAAAGATTTTAAAAGAGAAGAAAAAAGTCAACCTTTATTTGTTTGGGTCTTATTGTCAGAAGTATTATTCGAGTCAAGAAATCCATGTTGACGTAACCTGATCCCATGTTAATTGGAGAGTGAATGTCATTAAGTATTTCTGAAATGTTTCTGAAAAATGAACATTTAAAGAAAAAAGTCTCCTTAGCTTCTTCTTACAGCATTTCCAGTTGCTTCATACTTCACAGTTTTAATACAAAGTACAAGCTCTACTTTATAACACGTTCTCCAAGTTTTTAAAACTACTATTATATTCCAGATAAACTCTTCTATCCGCAGAGTCTTTTGTTACTTCTGCAGGCTACACCCTTAATTTGCAGAGGCCGTTTTATTTTGTTGTTTGATGCTAAAGCCGTTGTTGAAATGCTCTGAACTCCAAGGCCGATTGTGGAAGATCCTATAGCTTTTTCGCTCTGTGTGCTGTTTACCAGCTGTTACTCTATTTTGAAAGTCAGAGATTCCTCCTGTCTGAGCTGTTTCTATAGCATTTTCTAAACAAACAAAAAAAAATGGTCTTTTCCTTGTCTGTAATGAGATTGTAAACCCATTTCCTTCGTGTGCTCTGTTGTGGGCATGAGTGTGAGCGTGTGTGGTGGCGCGCACACGCGTGCCAGTGTTTTTGTACTATAACTACCTCATGGTTTGCGTGCTGGTTGTACTGCTGGTTGTGTTAACAGAGCACATTTTGTTGGGTGAATTGTGTGTGTGATTTTTTTTCTGTTTGTTTTAGCTGGGGGTTGTTCATGAAACTGACAGATGTTTTTCTGAAAAGGACTATTATCAGTTTCCAAATACAGTACTTCTCTCTTCTGGTTTTTCCTGAATGAGCCTGATTTTGTTGCTGTTTTTCATCATCTACGAGGGTAAAAAGAGTACCCTTAAAATCCCTGTGGCCAGTTTGAACACCCTTGTTGGATTCTTTTCTCTGTTCAATGTGTCGGCAATTTTGTGAACATGCTTAGATGTATGGTTTTGATATCCACAGTTTTAAGTCCTTTATCTGTGCATAATAAAAAGATATATATCAATTATTAATATATATCTTGTTTGGTCATCATTAAATTCTACCCTTAAGTGATATAACCCTTTTTCATTGTGACTTTCTCCTAAATGTATCATCTGCTACAACTGTGTGGAGGAGGAGGAGGGTGGAGGAAGGCCAAGAGAATGCTCCAGGTTCACTAGACCAGCGGGATGGGGTGGACAGACCAGAGGAGAGCACAGCAGAGCTGTCACTCTTCTCAGAAAAATGTGGCAGGAGACCCGGAAGTGGGTGGTAGGAGACCTGGAAGTGGGTGGCAGCCCTGGAATCCATTTCTAGGCTCTCTCTCAATCTCCTAGAGGCAAGGAAAGAGAAATAATATGTATTTTGGCTCTACTATTTTCATCCCCTCCAAATAGCCCAGTGCTGCTTCCAGCTTTCTCTATCAGTATGGCACCGCCATCTTCCAGTTGCCCAAGCCAGAAACCTGCGAATCAACTTGACTCCTCTTTGGCTCCCACACCCCCAAATTAGTTAATCCAAGTTTATGCTATCTTTGGAATATTTCTCCAAACCACTGACATATTTCCACTCCTACTGCTGTTACCCAGAATCCAAGGCCCATTATCTCTTGAGCTGAATTACTACAACAGTCTTAAGTAGTATGCTGACTTCTCAGTTTGCTCCTCTCTAATTCTTTCTCCACCATGCAGCCAAAGGAATCCTAAAGACTCAAATCCTGTGACTTCCCAACTTAAAGCCTTTAAGTAATTCCCCCATTAGCATTCACGATAAAGTTCAACCTCCTAAGCATGGTTTTAAGAGAATAATCTGCCTACCTTCCCAGCTACTTCTCTCTCCTCTCTAGACCTCAAACTGTATGTGGCATGCCCCCCCAACACAGACACAAATTTATATTATGAAAACAATAGTTTTCTTTTACTATCAAAGATTAAATTATAACATTAAATGTTTTTACAAACTGCACACTCATATCCCTACCTTCTCTTCCACTTCTGACAATTAGTGATTTTAATGATTGAAACCAGACCTAAGAATATGTCAAGGCCAGCAGCCCACCCCTCACACCTCACACATAGGTGCTGACACAGCAGGAGCAGTGTGAGGGGCTTAAGCAGCATCTCACTATCAAGGGTGGAGTCCTCCTTACAGATGAGAGTCCAGCCATTTGTCAGTACCAAGACTATGCCCTGGAGCCGGCTCCTTTCTCAGAGGATAGACCGAGGAATTGGCAAGTCAACTAATTTTTCTGCCATTAAACGCTCTACTGGAGCAGAAACCTAGGCAATCCATAAAAAGGGCTTAAGAGAGTGGATTAACTACCTGAAATTGTATGTAAAATTTTGCATAGTGTCTGGACTTTTTCTGTTGTTTTGGAGGTTTTTTGTGTATGTGAGAGACAGTCCATAGCATTTTTGTAGTCACCTCTTCTAATTTAAAACGATTATTTTTTTGAAAACACAATTGATATATATGTATAAAATGAATGCAAACAAAACAGATAAATGTAGCAGTGAAAAGGCCCCCACAATCCTCCCACTTAGAGATAATACTGACTTAGTGGATGTGTTCTCAGACATTTCTTTATGTTCATATCAACATGTCCATGTCACTATACTAAAGAAGATTGTATTATGACATTTGCGACTTGCTGTTTTCACATGGCATACCTTCCTATCAGGCTTGATAACATGAGTGCTGATCATCTCTTTTTTACTATACTTTCCTTAAATTGTCAGAGTAAAACATGGTCATTGTAGGAGGTAAAACAAAGTTATTTGTCAAAGTTCTTTTCTACTCTCTCCAGTCACTTCTCTAGAGGAACTGATGTTAACGGCCTTTTTTCTAATTCAAATGTATTGACATGTGTTCACAAATAGAGTAATTTTTGGTTTGTTTACTAAAAATGGGATTGCTATATGCATACTCTGAAACTTACCTATGTCCCTTAACATGGACCTCCCTGTAGTTAGTAGATATAGAACAAATTTATCCTTTTTAATGGCTATATAATATTTCATATAATGAATTCAACCAATTCACTAGTGATGGACATTTAGAAATGATATTTTCAGAGTTTTGCCAAGATGCTCTGCTGCAGTTAATATCCTTATATTTATGTCCTTGCACTCTAGTGCTTTAAAGCAAAAAAAAGTGACAGAGACACAAAGAGAAATGGACAAATTCATCATCACAGTAGAAGCCTTCAACATGTCACTCTCAGAAGTGGATAGATCAAAAAGATTTGGATACGGACGATTTGAACAATACAACTAAGCTTGCTCTACTGGGCACGCATAGAATCCTGTGCCCCCAAATTTGAGGATTTTGTACATATGGAATATTTCTAAAAATTGACCGCTACTAGACCGTTATGGAATTCTCAGCAAATATCATAGAACTTATCATACTGGTTAAGTTCTTTAACCACAATGCAAACAGTTTAGAAATTAATAAGAAAAGGATAATTTAGAAATACTCAAGACATTTGGGAATTTTAAGATACTTCTAAATAATTCATGGTTCAAAGAAATACTCAAATAGAAATTAGACTATATATAGACGAAGAATAATGAAAATAGTAAATTCAAACATACAGCTAAAACAGTAATTTATGAGAAATTCATAGCTGTAAAATGCTTATATTGGGAAACAAAGGTTGAAAGTGAAAGTGTGTCCAACAAAGCAAGTTAGGAAAAATGCCAAAAACTAATTATTACTTAAAAAGACTATTAGAGATAGACAAAAATTAAGTAAAAATCAATGCATGCATTAGGAATGAAAAACGAGAAATCACTAGATACTGCAGAGATTTTAATAAATGGGATCACCATAAATAATTTTATTCTAATAAATTTGAAAACAGACGTGGGTGACGTGTCAGGTAGGGTCCTGTTGGGTGAACAGAACCTGCACTGGGTATTTCAACAGAGAGAAATTAATGTAAGGACTTGGTTAAGCAGGTGTTGGAGGACTGTAAGGTGAAGAGAGGATGCTGAGGTAACATGGAATTCAGAGATGTAGGAAGAATGGCGTCCCTGAGCTGGGGATTGTCCAACTTGTTTGGGGAGGTTTGCAGAGCCCTAGCCCCAGCATTACCAGGCTGATAGGAAAGGAAGATTGAGAGACAAAAGCTTAGTAAATGGCACAGATGATTTCCTGGAAAAAATGTAATTTCCCAAAACCAATTCAAGAAGCAACGGAAAATTGAAAATACATCTTTAACCATTAAGAAAGTCAGTGGTTTAAAATCTACTCACAACAAAACAGAACACAAAATTTAAAAACAAACGAAAAACCACAACCAAGCCCAGATGGTTTTACAGGTAAGTTCTACTAAGTAGTCAAAGAACAGGTAACGCCAGGATCATGGTGGTTCTTTTATTTTGGGGATGCCAAGGTCAAAGGGAATGAGTTTTTTAATATTAATGTCTCATTAGCATATTACTTTCGCTAAAGGTTGTAGCAAATTGCACTGCCACAGGCCGCCTCATGGGCACGGGGCATTTTGAATCAGAGCTTGGCCACCAGGCGTCACACTGCCTGGGTTTGAATCTTGGGTCTGGCGTTTGCTAGCTGAGCTATTTCCTTAATGTAAAAAAAATCTACTTCTTAGCATTATCATGAATATTAAATAAGATAATCCATATAAAGTGTTTAGCACATACTACTCACTTAATGAATATCATCTACTATTATTTTTACCAGTATTACATGTTTTAAATTTTGCCAATCTGATGGTTGAAAAATTGTATCTCGTTATTTGAATCTGTATTATCCTCATAAACAGTGAGTTTTAAATTATCATATAGCTATTGGTCTTTTCCAGGTCCTTCTGTACATTTCCATTTCCTTTGCCCATCTTTCTATTGAGTTGTATTTTTCTTAATAATTTCCATATTCGTGATATGACGTGTCATGTGTGACAAATATTTTCCTAATCCACAATGGTCTTTTCATCCATTCTGTTTATAATGGATATTGCCAAGATAAAATGTGTAATTTTATGTAGTTGAATATGTCTATCTTTGTCCCCTGGTTTCTGGGTTTCCTTTCCTGCTTAGGGTCTCTCTAACTCTAAATATAGACTAACACTCCTATTAATTTCTTTTAAAAATTTAGATCTTTATTCTATATTTTTGTGACGGCATGAGGGTAGGGATCTTTTTTTTTTCTCCCAGATGATCATTCAACTCGACTGGAAGCATTTATTAAAAAGTTCATCTATTTCCCATCGAATTCAGATTTTTAAAAAGAATGGTGAGGGTGGTCAGGACTTAGCAGAGATTAAAATTTAGTGTAAAATTTTATAATAAAAATACTACGCTATTAAAATAGGAAGCGTTAAATAGATTCCTCAAATAGATAGGAAGAGTGACCAAAAATAGATCTAATTCATTGGGAACCTAACATATGACAACTAGGCATAGTTTTCTTTAGATTCTTAAAGGATTTCATGACCCAAATATGGTTATAAATCCATGACCCATAATGAGAGATATAGGTTGTCTGACCTACATTGTAAAAAACAGATCTGATTTTTTTGTTCCTTGCTATTTCAAAAAACTTAGAGAAAAATTGTCTGAAAAAAATTTGGTAATGTTAGGTCTTTCCCAAACTTTTCATGTTTCAACATGGCTGAGCTGTGGGAGTGATGTTGCTACACCAGTGGACCTGGAGGGCAGAGCCTTGAACCAAGGAGGATTGTTCTGGAGCCTTAAGATCTCATGGAGTTTGTTTTGCTAGGTTTTGGACTTGCTTGGGACCCGTCACCCCTTCCTTCTTTCCAATCCCTCCCTTTTGGAATGGGAATTACAGGAGAGGAAAATAATTTTCCCTCTACCTTTCTGAGTTCTTGGCTGAAGTCCCTGCAATAAAAGACAGATTAACAAGAGAAAAACAGACAGACGTTTATTAACATGAGTACATGGTAGATACCCAGGGAAAAATGAGTAACTCAAGGAGGTGGCTTTAGAATTCAGGATTAAATACCATCTTAATAGGCAAAGGGGAGGAGGGATATAGGTCTTTTAGGG